AAAAGAAATAAAAAATGTGGCATCTATACACAATGGAATATTACTCAGCACTAAAAAAGAATAAGATAGTGGCATTTGCAGGGATATGGATGGCATTAGAGCAGATTATGCTAAGTGAGGTTAGCCAATCCAAAAAAAAAATGCCAAATGTCTTCTCTGATATAAGGGGGTTGATTCAAAATGGGGAAGAGAGGAAGAGCATGGGAAGAAAATTACACCTACATAGGGAAGAGGGGTGGGAGGGAAAAGGAGGGAGAAAGGGAATTGCATGGATGGTGGAAGGAGACCCTTATTGTTATACAAAATACATGTATGAAGATGTGAGGAAAAAAAGAATAGTGTTACAAAAGCCTGTGATGTTTCATTGCTTCAAGTGCCAGCCAGAGAATTTCAGTGCAAGTTCATACACTAAATACGAGAAAAACCTGATTTTCAGACAATAAGTAAATACCATATAAATTCCATCATTCCCTTCTAGCCTTTAAAGTGGATAGTTTTGAATATGGAAGAAATTAGAAATGATTCTAGACAAATCATTAGTTAGGTAACAACATCTTATATTAACAATAAGATGTCTGTGTTCTCCAGGCATAAGAGCAAATTCCATTCAATTTACTGTTTTGGTTTGGTTTTTCCTTCTTCTAAAACCTGCATGAGCATATCATGCCAAAACCACAATACCTTTTTCTTGGTGCATTATGTGCTAGATTCTGCCTATTCCTTTAATCAGTCAGAACTGACTTTCAAATTGAATGGAATTAATATATAATTGACCTGAGTGGTTTTAGTTGAGTTAGTCCTCCCTACTCACCAAAACTATGAAACAGTGAGGAATAAATTCATCCATACCAATATATGTAATAGTATAATACAGTAGAGTCCTGAACTGAACTTATTCATTGAAAAATAAAAACAAAGTTCCCCAAGTCTCCTTTAGGCCACAAGTGAGCTATTAAACAAAACAGAAATGACAGAAAAACGTTTTTTGAGTGGGTGTTAGCAGATGTTAGCCAAGCAAATACTTTAAAAAAAAATAAAATAAAAATAAGGGGTGCTTTACTAACGTTTTTACCAGACAACTAATACAGACCCAGGAGGGTTCTTGGCCAACAGTAAAGGCAGCATCGCTTTAGATATATTTGTTAAAATTGTGCAGTGAGAAGGGCTAGGAGCCAAACATATGTTTTGCCAAAGTAGTCCTTATGCTACCATTTACAGATGTTAACTGGGGGCCAGGCACCAGCTAAGATTTTCAGGCATAGTCTTCCATTTGATCTTCAAACAACCCCCATGACTATGAGGTATTATCATTATCCTTCCCGACATACAGATCTGAGGACTCCAAGTTTTTAGCAAGCTAATATCTGCGCTTAACAGCTTGCAGGCATTAATCGACAATGTAGGAATCAAATTTGAAGTGCCTCTTCGTAACAACGTTCTACTTCTTCTGGATATTTCACCTTGGTTGATTTTTTTCCCCTAGGAAATAATTATGTGCAGATGAAATGAATGCTTGAGTTATTAGATCCCCAAATAATCATTTGTTTGTGGAAACATCTGTTTCATTTGGCAAATATTTGAGGTTTCAGATATAATTTCATAGTTTGGTTTAGAGAATAAAAACTTCCAGAATTATGAAACTTTGATGATCAAAAAAAAAAAAAAAAGACCACCTACTGAGGGCTCCTGCCTTTTATAATAGACRGAGCTCCTCCTTGGAAATTCCGTGAGAATGTTCCTCTCCTCATGATCGGAACTTGGTCTTTTAGTCCTGGAGACAATAAGTCCTCTTACTTTGGCTGTTGGAAACATTTTTGCTATGATTGAGAAGAATGGCAGCATCTAAGATCTTTTKGGAAGAAAGGAAAATATTAAAGAATTGGAATGCTGAGTATTTTAGGATTGAAAAATTTTGGAGGACAACTGTAATAAATGGCTATTTGTTGAATGCGTTACTCACCAATAAAGATTGAGATTAAAACAAACCCTAACTTCAAAAGTAACTATAGGGGTGGTTAAATAAGCCAATAACTGAAGTACATTAAGTGATGATTGCTTGCCAATAGATTTGCCAATGCCTTTTTAAATATATATAGTACCAGAACKGTATATAATACTTCTGAAGTGTTCAGAGATAAAGAGTATTAGAGGGCTAGTTTCTCTCCTATTCCTCATATTGTATCTTTTRTTACTGACTTCTATGATTGATTAGCCCTTTTAGGACACTGAATTATCATATCTACAGTAATTGCCAAAATCCAAATAATGCTCAAATATTTCAATGTATGCTGTCTTTAATTCAAGCTTTTACAGCTTTGTTTTATGTAGTTTTTTATATTGTATTAACATGGCCTTTAAGTCTCCAAAGTCTTTTCAAAGTCTTTCATTAACCACTTTCTTATGACATCTCCAATTATCACTGAAGTTATTAATRTAAGTTTGAAGAGAATATAGAGTCAGGTTTGGAGCTGCATACATCCAATGTGACAAGGCTGTCATTAATGCCATAAGAGATTCGAGCTGTTGGTACCAATTCCAGCCACATGCAAAGAGTCAGCTGCTTCCTCCAGGTCCATTATGATTAATAGTAGAAGCTCACTTTATCACTTATTCTCCTTAAGGGAGATAAACTGTTATCCAGATGGATTAGATCATATTAGATGAAATGCTTTAAACTACTACTCTATTTTACCCCTATTCCATGATTGACGGGTATCAAAAATTGTTCTATATCTGCCATCCGATTTGGCAAATTTTAATAAACCTTTTCAATGACTAACCTTCTGTTTCTCTTTCTTTTCACATTAATCCAGATGTTTTCCAGTCTTCTCCCCATCTCTTTGATGATTTTCCATGTAGACATGTACCCTAAGTACAACTCCTGCCAACTGACATTTTGTTAGGTTTACAAACTTGTGTTTCTTAGGTTATCCATCCTGCTTTTTCTTTTCTGTTGTTGCCCTTTATTTGATTTCTTTCATGGAACTCTGGTTTTCAGTCATCCTTAACTACACCAGCAAACCCCTAGACCAGTCTTTAGTGTCTGACCCAAAAGCTCTTTAAATATTAGTGTGGAGACCATCTGCATCAGAGATGTTCAGGATATCTGGACTTAGGCTCCAGAGACTTTTTAAAAAAATTTTTTTGTAGTTGTAGATGGACAGAATGCCTTTATTTTATTTAATTCTTTTTATGTGGTGCTAGGATCGAACCCAGTTCCTCACACATGCCAGGCAAACACTCTGCCACTGAGCTACAGCCTCAGCTCCAAGAAACTATGTTTTGAATATGCAAAGAGRACAGAGGAGCCTTGGTGTACAGAACTGGGATACAGAACAGAAAGCCCACCTCCCAGCACACTCTTAGAAGAGGAAGTCTGAGTAGATGGTGGAGGGAGCTGTCAAAGAGCACTAGGAAGACAGAGGTGGCCTTATGAGAAACAAGGTCAATTCAAGGAAACAAGAGACAGCAGCATCAGCCTGTCCTCAACCCCCAAGCATGGTGAGCCAGTTCCAAAATGATTACATTCAGCTATYATCCTTCAAATTAATAACTCGTGAAAGAATAAAGGTCCTCTCCAGGAACATGCTTTATGCATGCGTTAGCCAGCTTTTCCCCACTGTGACCAAAATAACTGACAAACAAGTTAGAGGAGGAAAGACTTATGTTGATTGATGGTTTTAGAGGTCTCATTTTGTGGTCCTCCAACTTGAAGAAAGATCCCAGTTGATGGGCATGGTGGAGGAAAGCGGCTTAGCCCATGGCAGTCAGGAAGCAGAGTGATAGGAACCAGGGAACAGAGAAGCCCTTCCAGGGCACACCCCAGTGACCTGCTTCCTCCAATTAGATCTCAACTCCCAGCAGTCCATTCAGTTATCAGTGGATTAATCCATCAATGGATTAATTCCCTGATTAGCTCAAATCCCTCATCATCCAATTCTTGCCTAAAAGCCCCACCTCTCTACCTTTCTGCATGGGGGACATGCCTATGAAACATAAGCTTTTGGGGGAACATTCCAGATTCAAACCAAAACAGTTTGTAAATATTCTTAAACTAGGTGTTACTATTTAGGAACATGGGGAAAGARTAAATTGATTTACTGGAAACATTTACAGAGCTGATGATTTGAATCTTTTAACTGGCTGATTAAAAAATATGTAAAGAAGCAAACTATTCAATATCTAGATAAATTTTTTCATTTACTTACTATTCTTCATTCAAATGTACTCTTTAATTTGGTACTTTTTTAAAACTACCTACATGTACCTGGAATTTAGTTAGGCACTGGAACACTATACTAGGTTAAACTCCTCAGTAAATGTGGAATGAATGTATGAATGAGTGGATGAATGACCAAAGGAATAGATAGAATGTAGAATATGTCATTACATGACTGAGGGAAAACTAATGCTATGTACATGGAGATCTTGAATAGGTTTCTGCAAGTACCCTTATTGAACTGGTTAAGCCCAAGCCTTCGATTCTCGACCTTCTCTGATAAACCTCTAGAGAAATAAATCTCATATTCAAGGTCATGTAGCCTTTCAAGTTTGCTATGAAGTTGCAATATTAATGTGTGTTCCATGGCCACCCAGACTTCTTATTAAAGTACACAGGAGAATCTGAGCCAAGGTCAGCTTTCCTTTACAAAATACCTCTTCTAAACAGGCAAGAAAATTGCAGAGAAGACTGAATGTACAACTTAGCAACTTTTTGTCTTTTGCAACAATTTTTTTTTGCAGAAAATTATCAGCTAAAGGAATACAGATCATTTAAAATACAGGATTTGTATTTGTGTGCTCCTGTGCATTCTATTTGATGACCTGAAAACTGAAGATTTTAATATGAGCAATTATAATTACAATAAACTATCTAGCTTTTTCATGCAGGCTAAAATAAACACTTGTTTCTTTTATATTGTAATTCAATAAAAATGAGCCCACCATGTTTCTAAAAGCCGTAAAAAGATTCTTTTGTTGAGACGTGGAAATTACATTACCATGCACATGCAATTGAGTGTGCTGTTGTGTTTCTCCAGCTGCATTGGTAGCCACACATGTGTATCTGCCAGCATCTTCCAACAGGGCTTTGGCAATCTGCAGAACTCGGCCAGAAGACTGTATCTAATTGGAAGCAAAAAGCATGGCAGCATTTTATACTTTGTGCTTAGACTGGAGAACATTCACCAAGATAGAAAAATTCATTAAAGTTACAGTATCTAATTATATTYTCATGTCACTATCCTAATTATTTCTTGAGATATTAGAACCAGATCACTTCATTATGCATAAGAAAATAGGGTGATTTGATTGCAAGCTTGTTGTTATTCATTGGAAATCACAAAATAAAATAACCTAAGGCTAGCTTGCTGGTATAGTCATAAAACTCCACTAAATAAAGGCCTTTCACACTGAATTATGATAAAAATTTAAGCCATTTAGAATACATGGCCACATCCATATAACACTTCATAAATATTTTTAAAACAACAAACTTTTTTGATTAAATTGTCATGGGGGGGCCAAGAGAAACAATAAAAATCATAAAATACGAATAACAGAAATGCAGATAAATTCTTTGAATTTTCTTCTTTCCTTCTTAGACCCATTGAAACTGGCCTCCACCATTTTGAAACTGGTGATTCAGAGGTTATTCCATGGAACTGATTATGCTGAGGCAATCAGTAATTTCCAATCACATTATCCATTACTCTATGTCCTAGGTGTATACTCTCCCACCATCAGCCTACTCCTTGAAACTCTATACTCTAGGTTTTAAAGATATAGTATTCCCTGTTGTTATTATCTGACTTTTTAGGAGACTACTTTACAGAATAGACTTCCTCTTGATGTCTCATTAGCCAGACACTTTAGTTGTCTGGTAGTTTTCACCCAATCCCATGGCATCAGTGAAAATCCCTATGTGACTTCCTAAATTTATAGCTTTAGCTTCAACTTCTCTCTTGAGCTCCAATTGGTTTCAGTTATCTACTGAACAGGTTAATATCAAATTAAACTTATCTAGAATTAAAGTCATAAATCCTTTCCTTTTATTTCTGAAATCTACTTCTCATTGCATTTTCCCCATCTTGCTTAGTGGCACCCACTATTTTTCCAGTCATCTGTTTTTTTGGAGCTCACTTTAACTCCTATTAATTATACCACTGCATGCTTTTCAGATCCTGTTTTCCATTTCCACAGCCACTGTGGGATTATAATGGCTTCCTAACTGATGTTGCAGTGTCTCCAGCCTCCCCAATTTTTAATCTATCCTGCACACTTGCCAGAATAATTTGTTTAAGATGGAAATTTGATCCTTTTACCAGTCTCCCTTCAAACCTCATTCATGGCTCCCCACCTTTCCCAGAATGAAAYATGAACTCCTCATAAGCCCTCCAGGCTCACCACATTCTGATCCCAAATGATCTCTCCAAACTGCCATATAAACTCCCACTTAACCTGTTTTCCAGCCATACTGTACTAAACTTGTTAAGCAACATTTGTAAATTTATATTCTGGAATATTGCACATGGACTTTACATGCAATAAGTTTTTAAGATTGTGATTTAAGTYGATCCTCTCTCCCTTTGCTTCCTACTTTTAGTCTTTCCTTGAATTAACTCATCTGTCTCATAGTTCAAATATCATCAATGTACCAATATTCCAATCAGAGCCCTCTGTTGAGCTTCAATATCTTAATATATTGATCCACTGACATTTCCACTAGTTTATCTCAAAATCACTAACCCCAAAAGTCTAAAACTCAAATCACAATTTTTTCCCCTTAGACTTATCCTTCTCCAGAGTATCTAATCTCATTAGATGGCGACATTATCCTTACAATTAAGTAGGTCAGATTCCGAGGACACTTCCTTGACACATACTCCTTCACCTTTCATAAACAACCCCAGTCATTTAACCTATAAATATGTCTCAGATCTATCCAAGTATCTTCATCTCCATGGCTAGCATATCAGCTCAAATTTCTCCAATTGGTTATACATATGTACTCTTGGCTCTTCTAATTTATTCTTTGGCAGGAATCCAGATAACTATAGTCATGCTCTGCAAAACAGTGTGTTGGTGAGTAACTGACCACAGACATGATGGTAGACACCATCTAGCCTAGTTGCGTATTATGCTATATACATCTAATGTTTGTGTAAGGACTGACTATGATGTTTGTACAATGATGAAATTACCTWTGGATGTATTTCTCAGAATGTATCTCTGTTTATAAGCAACATTTAACTCTATTTAAAATATGCACCTGATCACATCCCTTCTCTCTTAAAACTCTTTGAAGGCCCTCCACTGCCTTAAGGTAAAAATAGAATATTTACCCTATATATATGCTGTCTGCCAGCTGTCAGTCTCATGCAATAACACTCTCCCTTGCCTCTCTTCAGCCCACTGGCTTACTTTCCAGCCCTCAAGAGGTGTCACACTCTCCTTTATTTGTGCATATTTTCTCTTTAATAAACAGTTCTTTCCCATTAATTCATCCATTTAACTCCAAAATATTCTTCAGACCTCTGCTTGGTTTCCTTGTTATATGTTCTTACATCTCTCTATACTGTCTTCAAATAGCTCATTATGATATGTGATTCACTTTTGCATATGATTACGTGATAAATGTCCATCTCCAGATAAACAGTTACATACTTACACTATGTTCTAAAACTACATGCTAGCACAAAGGTGTGAGATTAGTTCCATTGGATTTTGAATAGAAATAATAACTGAAYATGTACCTATTACTTTTACAAGGAAAATAAACTCAAGATATCTCATATTGAAAACTTACAAGCAAATCTCAAACCCCACAGTCAATTAACAGGATCCTAATAGCGAAGTCTGTTAATTCTGATTTTTAAATGCATCATTTATTCATATTTGATATCTATCATAATTTTTTAATTACCTACTAATTCAATGTACTGAGACACAGTTATATGTCAGACTATAATCAATATCAAGGACACAAAAATAAATTTATATATCACAAARACTAATGGAGTCTCTGCCCTCTTGTAGCTCATAAGCTATTTTTTAAAGATTTTTTCCCACTATTTTATTTGTTTATTTTTATGTGATGCTGAGGATCGAACCCAGTGCATCACACCTGCTAAGCAAGTGTTCTACCACTGAGCTATACAGCCCCAGCCCACATAAACTAGTTTTTAAAAATGTTTTTCAAGACATCTGTTTCTTACGGTTATATATGTTTGACTTTACCTTAACCTTAGTCTATGGTGAACATATTGGAGTATATGGGCTTATTATTAATGAACGTTATTTATCCAGGAGATGCCATATTTTGTTTTTATTTATTATTATTATTATTATTATTATTATTATTATTATTATTTTGGTTTTGGGGATTGAACCTGGTGACACTTAACCACTGAGCCACATTCCCAGCCCTTTTTTAATTTTTTTTATTTTGAGACAAGGTCTCACTAATTGCTTAGGGCCTCACTAATTTGCTAAAGCTAGCTTTGAACTCTCAATCCTCCTGCMTCAGCCTCCTGAGCTGCTGGGATTATAGGCGTGCACCACTACACCAGGCAAGATACCAGTTTTTTACAGCTAACTCAGGCACAAATCAAAATAAAAAAAAATACCAAGCCAATCTGTGTTAAAATCTGTATCATTATTATTTGTTATCAAGGTTATTAAATCCTTTATTTAATTCCATTCAAAAAATTATAAGGAAGGGCTGGAATTGTAGGTCAGTGGTAGAGTCCTTGCCTAGCTTGTATGAGGCACTGGGTTTAATCCTCAACACCACAAATAAAGAAATAAAAATATTTTTAAAAAATTATAAGGAAATATATAGTTTTAATATATTGTCTGCAAAGTCCATAAAATCTATAATTAATAAAGAATACTGTGATTGCCCTGAGATGATCGATACAGCTTTCTCAATTTGGGTCCTGTAACATTTATACTTACTTTGAGATTTCCTTGGGCAGTGTTCACAGGCTGGTCATCTTTTAACCAAGTAATGGATGGATGTGGGATGCCATTGGCTATGCACTGCAAGGTGACAGGTTTGCTTTTCACCACGGCTCTCTCAGGAGGGCCTGAGGACTTGATTGTTGGAGGAACTAGATGGAAGAAAGGAAGGGCAGAAAGAATGAAAAACCACCACCAGGAGATGGTCAAACACTTAAGATGAACAAACCTGAAACTTTAACACTAAGAAAAAAATTCTAATTTCAACAAACAATGAAGTCATTTCATGATGCATTTTATTGATAATTTTAGCAATATTAGATATTACTTTTTCCTAACTATGGATTTCAGATTTTTCAAAGAACAAATAAAACATATATGTGTTACTGCAGTAATGTACATTTGGCTTATAAGTTTTGGTGTCTTTTTCCCAATCAATAATGACCTTCCTTTTCTCTAGAACTGTCTTATTAAATCAAAGTGGGATCTGAGCATTATTTACACATGACTCTGCCCAGGCAAGACTGATTGAACCTGGGTTGGTAACTTGCTCTAAGCTGGATCTGCCACATTTTCTCTCAAAAAATTGGAAGTGAGACTGACAAACAAGATTATCTACACTTCAGCATGGGACATTGGGCTAAAAACAAAGAAAGAAAAAAAACAAGAAGTCTGCAGAGAGAGGGAAGGATGAAGTTGACATTCAAAGACACTTCTTCCTGTAGCTTCCAAATGTCTCTGTAGTTTCTGGTTCTAGATCCTTCTCAAGTTCTTCTGTCAAGTAAGACACATGATACCGTGGCAGAGAGTTGTTTCTATCATTAAATTAATGGTTATAATATCAACATGACAGTTCTGTGAATGCATTTATGTGCCCTAGATCCTGCAGTTATACCCTTAGCCTCCACTCCGGAAAGTCTTCCCAATCACTCCTGTTTAGGCTAAACCCTTAAATGCTGACATGACACCTTTAGTTGCAAGTTGCTATCTGCCTCTTGTAACTTCTTCAGTCTCACTTCTGGGACCCCGACATGCTATGTAGACTATACCTCCTAATATTTAAATTCTGCTGAAACTTGTTCACATGATACCTATTGTTCAGTAAACTGATTYAAAATCTTCCATGAATTCAAATTGACATCTTTCATCATACTTCTGTTACGGTTTAGATGTGAAATGTCCTACAAAAGCTCACATGTGAGACAATGCAAAAAGGTTTGGAGGAGAAATGATTGGATCGTATCCTTAACCTAATCAGTGAATTAYTTTCCTGACTGGGATTAACAGTGGTAACTGAAGTGGTAGGGTGCGGCTTTGGTGTACATATTTGTATCTGGCAAGTRCATATTAGTATCTGAGCTCTCTCTTCTCTGCTTCCTGATCACCATGTGAGCTGCTTCCCTCTGCCACACTCTTCTGCCATGATGTCCTGCCTCACCTTGATCCTGGAGGAATGGAGTCAGCTTATTATGTACTGAGACCTCTGAAACCAGAAGCCCTCAAATAAGCTTTTMTTCCCTAAAATTGTTCTGGTCAGATCCTTTTAGTCACAGCAGCAACAAAGCTGATTTAAACAACTTTCYACAACTCAGGATTTAATCCAGATTTCCAAGCCACAATCTGAATTAGATAATGACATAATGCTGGTTAGTTTAAAATGGAATACTTCTGTCCCTTCTTCAACATACCATGAACAGTGACTTCAAATTCCTTCCTGTGGTTTCCAGCAGTGTTTGTCGCCACACACTGATAGAGGCCGGTGTCCGACACTTGAGCCTGAGCAATGATCAGTTTGCGTCCATTTAGTAAAATCTTGAATCCATCCCTTTCATCAATTAGCTGACCATCCTTCAGCCACCTAGAAAAAATAGCAAAAAGAAGTCTGAATTTATTAGAGAGTTTCCAGAAAGTGTGTGTGTGCGCGCACACACACGTGTATGTGCTTAGTATTTTGTTTATTCTCTATCATGAATTTGCCTAATTTCCTAATCATTCACTCTTTTTTAAAAATATTTTTTTAGTAGTAGATGGACACAATATATATTTTTTACTTATTTTTATGTGGTGCTGAGGATTGAACCCAGTGCCTCATACATGCAAGGCAGGTACTCTACCCTTGAGCTACAACCCCAGCCCCTAATCATGCCCTCTTAAAAATAAAAAGTGTACCGTACATAGAAGAATAAAAGAAACCTGGTTTAAACAAAGTTGAAGTTTATAGGAACCCAGTAAATATGTGTTGAGTTCTTTGTTTTTCTCCTAATTTTAAGTTACAGAAAGATGAAATGTCCCTAAATAATACTCAYTTTAATACTTAAATAACACTAACCAGAAATATTTAAACTATCTTAAAACATCTGTAGATAAAACACTGAAATAATATCTTTTTATTTTACATTTTTTTATGAGTCCTAACTTTCCATTTAGTTTTGTAATCATGTGTGAACCATCTCATTCCCTTAGTTGACTGACTGTTCCAATGCATGTCCTATCACACTTTGGAAACAAAAGTTAGGTGTTTAGTAAGTGCTTTGTGAAAGAAGAAATGAGAAAAAAATGATAAATATATGCCTGTTAACATCCTCTGGGTTTTTTTTAATGTTTCTGGTATTCTTTTTATTTATCAAACATTTCAGTGTCTTAGGGAGGTCAGACATTAATACTACTTAATAGTTGTCTCTCTCCACCGAAACTATAATTTCTAAGATCCTATAAAGGAATTTCCCCAGGCTGAAGTGCCCTTTGAATATCAAGTAAAAGTTACCTTGTATATGGAGTACATCTTAAGAGGGATATAAAGAATGTAATTTTATACTTCCTCTTTTTAATGACACAGTCTTTCAGGACAGCTGTAAAACACATCAAAAAGTGGGAGGTATTTAGAAGACATACCAAACCCCTTACATGATAGTTGGTGGGGGAGAGCCTGTCACTTGACAATCCAGTTCCAACAAGTTATTAACCATCACAATGAAGTAAGACGTTTCATCTCCACCTTCTACAGCTGGTGGCACTAGAAAACAACAGAGACAAGCAAGGATGTAATGTGAAGACATATGCCCAAGAAAAAAACCACYGTCACATCCACAACACTATGTAGAAGTTTAGAAGGTTGATAACTATCATAGCAATTTGATACATGAGGGGTATTTGAGATGTATTGTAAGTACATTTTATAGCAAACACTTGCCAAGATCACTGAATGTACTTACAACACAATATGGATTTTTCTCTAACTGGTATCTTGGTGCTACTGATGCCATGTGAATATAAAGTCAATTCTTATTTTAAACTGCTTATTTTCATAAAAACAAGAGAAGAGAATTTCCCCATATTGGGCCAACTATTTAAAAAAAAAAAACCCTTCAATCTGTAATTAAAGACTGAGACTCTAGGTTGCAAGATGACTTCCCAAGGTCCAGAGACTTTTTCCTGTTGTCTAGCACAGTGCTCACAAGAAAACAGTGTCTTGGCTCACCATGATCAGATATTGTCATAGATGTAAGAATGAAAAGTATACCAATCAAAGTTAGTGGAAGACTTATACGAGTTTCTTGATCATGGGACTCTGGTGACAGATCTACCTCTGGGTAGTGTGCAGCCTAGCCTTGAACAAACATCTAGACCTTATCTTAGACTATTTTACTACTGCACAAAAAAAAGGTCTTTAATAAACTAATCAGGTTTATGCTGTGAACCTGAGGATCCAGGCAGAGGCATCCTTATTTACCTAAGACGTCAACTTCGTATTTGATTTCCTTTTCTCCTGCCACACTGGTAGCCACACATACATACTGTCCCCGATCAACTTCTAGGGCACTTGTGATTTCGAGTTTCTTCCCACCAGCTTCTATGYGGACGTTGTCACTGGCTTTCACAGGCACACCGTCTTTTAACCAAGTGAGAACTGGAGCAGGGTTGCCGGCAGCTTTACACTCCAATGTCAATGAATGAGCAATAACAACTTGCTTCGTCAATGGTGTGGCTGAGTCACCTTCAATCACTGGAGGAACTAGGTAGAAAAATAGAAATCCTTCAGGTAAGTCTTTGTGTAATCATAAAATACATTCTAATGAAATAAAGGGGAGATTTTTTTTCTCACATAGTGGGACCACAGTAACTACCTCCCTCTAAACTGTTGAAGGAAGAACTTGTTGGCTCAGCTCATCTGCAACTACTTTAATTCTTCTGGAATACTCTGTACAKTCAAGGTTTATAAAGGACAAATAGTGAAGAATGATCTTAGTCCTAACAACTATTCCATAAAAACAAATGATCTAGATGCTCCAAGTCCCATGGACCTAGGTTGTTTGAATGAATGTACCAYTTCTTGCTCATCTTAGCACTGATAAATATTTTTTTTCAAAATAACACATTCTTCCAAAGTCTATCCATACACATTGAAAAAAACCAAACCCACCAAGACTTTATTAGTGTCCAAATTTGATGTCAGCATATTAAAAGCATAGGTAGAAAGGTAACAAATTAAAGGATGTATTTTTCCTTACCATAGACATCTACACGGAATGATTTCTCAGCAGTTCCAGCAACATTAGTTGCACGGCATGTATATATTGATGAATCAGAGACTTGTGCTCGAGGAATATGAAGAAATTGTCCTTTGTCGATATAAAGTGCTTGGGAGCTGGACATGACTAGCTGTCCATCCTTGTACCAAGTAACAGTGGGCAGTGGAAGTCCCCGTGGTTCACACTCCAATTTAATTATGCTGTTGACCAATGCTGATACTTCTGTGGTAACATTCCCTCCTTTGATAGTAGGTGGAACTACAAAAGATTTTAGGATAAAAATAAATCTTCTAAGATCAGCATCTGCAATGACATCCTAAATGCTAACTATGCTCAAATAGCCAGTTTAAAGTAAATACAAATTTAAGACGGGAAGTGTGAATTATTTACTGGTAACCAGTTGACAGTCTTGTCAYAACAGTCTCTATTTCTCTCATTTTGGGTGTTAGATTTCAGTAAAACAGTAAGTCACAGATTCAATTTCAGGAGCTTATTTAAGTCCAATAGATCATATTAGAGTAACTAAGCAAGCTTATATTTAACAAACAGCAAAACAAAATAATGTAGATACAATATGAAATTGATCATGGGAGCAAACAATGTCAGATGTGGCACAACTGCATGACCTCTCCCATGACATAAGGTCTAAGTGGTTTGTTTTGAGCTACAATCCATTCATTCAACTGCACTCATCCAATTGGCTACACGTGTGTTTCCCATAACCCAGCAACCTCATTCCTAGCCTGACACCAAATGAAGACTGCTTTTAGAAAAATACCTCAAATAGTTGCTTTATCTCTACTACATGTTCTTAAYATGGTAGTTCCAGGATTGTGCTATAATTGCAGCAATTTTAAAGAAATCAAATGGCATGCGCCTAACTATGAGTATCTTAGCATAATTTTAATAAAGTTTTAAATATTAGTAGGATAGTTTTCTTATGGTGAGACAAGGGTTGTGGGCATTGAGAGACCAGAGGAACAGCTCCATGCTCATCATGCCACATCAACAGCACAGCTATCAACATGGCTTATCACTGATGATGTTAACCTTGGTATCCCAGTGAAGGCAGTATGGTCAGATTTATCCATCATAAACTTAATCCTTTTCCCCAGTGTTYTGAAGGGGGTCAATAGTTCCAGCCCATACAAACCAGGTGGAGACTTCAGTTCTCATGTCTTATTAAGGGAATATTTACAGAAATTATTTGGAATTCTGTATAGGAGACATGTTTACTGAATTGTTTATTTATATCAATATGAACTCAAAGAAGGTTATTCTCTACTATGGGATATAATCCAATACTACATTTATTTATCCAGCTTTGGCCATTAAAAGTTTGTTTAGTTGGTTGCTATGCCCCATTGACATACACATATCATTGTTTTTAACATTTTTGAAAACTTATGATCCTACTATATGCTTCAGGCTCATTGTGTGTACTCCCTTCCCCAGCCCTAGAATGATCCATTTCTCCTTCAGTGGAGAAGGATGTTAGAAAGTAAGATCTGAATGCTGATTGGTACACCTTAATATTTTCTGGCAATCAGCAAGCTCACACACATTTTTTCCTCACACAATTTAAGTCATGATATATTACACTTTGACAATGAGATCATTTTCTTTTTTTATTTATTTGTTTATTTATTTTTGCAGTTGTAGATGGACAGCATTCCTTTACTTTTTTTGGTTATTTTTATGTGGTGCTGAGGATGGAACCCAGTGTCTCACATGTGGAAGGCAAGCGCTCTGCCACTGAGCTACAGCCCTAGCCTGTGAGATTATTTTCTATAATGTGGTTTACTATAAAGTTCATGGGCCAGTCAACTATGACCCCCGTAGGTAAGGAGATGCCAAGTTAAGAATAATTTTCACATTTTTAATGGTTTGTGAAAAAAAATCAAAAGACTAACAATACCTTTGACAGGTAAAACTAATAAGAAATTCAAATTTCAATGTCCAAAAATAAAGTGTTATTGAAATACAGTCACACTCATACTCTCCATGGCTACTTTGCTCAACAATTGCAACAAAAACCCATGTGGTGTTCTCATTGCTTCTGCTGCTACTCAGCTTATGAAAAATGTCAGTGACACAGTTATAACCTCACAGCATTCCAAGTGCAATGCATATCACTATGCTGTGCTATTTTATTACCAATGCATATCCTCATGTCAAAACAAGAATGGAATAGAATAGTGGGCTTCAACTACTGCATTGAGGCACACCACACAGTGTGGACTATTTTGTTATCAACTTAAATGGCACAGCATTGTATTTGTTTTGAAATAGCATTATGGCTGTTCTAAAAGAATAAATATGAGTAGACTAAGCAGTCATCAGAGTATTCACAATTCAAAGGAAAGCAACCACTTATCAGAAAATGCAAAGTGGAATGTCTCATCATAGCAGAATTTCTTCACAAAAATAAAGTCAAATATAACGGTATAGCCAGAGTAAGTTTCTAAGTGGCTTATCTGTTAGCGAAGCAGAGAAAGCCGTCTACCAATGCCAACTTAACTAAATCAAATATGACTGTGGCAGTTAAAGAAACATATCGAGAGAAAATCAATTTATTAAAGATTATCAGCCTTTCAGTGAGAAGAACTGAAGAGCTGAGAATGCTGGGAACAATAGTCTTTTTTTTTTTCTGAAGAGAATTCTTGACTTTTGATGAGCAAACAGATATTACTGATAGTACTATGTTGTTCCTGTTTGAGAGGTCACTGCCAAGTTACAAGAAAGTGAAAAATGAGCCTTTCAGAATGGTCTGTGTGGAAAAACTATTGACAAAAATATTTTTAGAGAAGTTGGGGAAATGTTAATTCATTACATAATCTGGAGTGGACTCTGCTAAAGTTTTTCACAACTAATGGTGGTAAAAATATGAGTGTATGAAAAATGGCTTCGGGAAATCTAAGAAGCCTATTAAAATGCAGGGTGTCAAAAGTCTGTTTATTCATTGTGTCATTTATCAGAAAGCACTTCGTGCAAATAATAATGTGTTCATTAACCAGGAGTGTTGATGGTGTAGTTTAATTGCTCTCATCAAGTACAACATCACGAGTTCCCTGACCTTCATCGGAAGGAAAACTGAATGTCCCAGCTTACCTGACCATCGCACTGCTACGCTTTGGTAGTAGTAATATTTTACTGTGATTTTGAGCTCAGGGCTGAGGCTGAATTATTTCTAAATAAGAAGAATTCTTAAACATTATTATTGAACACCAAATTGTTTCAGAAATTGGTTTTGCTGTGAACTTTATATTTCTAAATGAATTCAACCTAAAATCACAAACATAGTACTTAATGTCCTACGACAGCAGTCATAAAGTTGTTTTAATCACAAGTCATATCAAACAAAGAATGACATCTTGATGTCCCTACAGATTTACAGTCATTGTATTTTCTGAGCTCAAACCACTGTTTTCGAAAGGTTTGATGCAAATGCAAAAAAAAAAAAGTTTCCATGTTCAAAATTCATCAATTTTTGAATCCAATCTTCAAATGGAATGGACCAACTGGTTGTATAATGACACATGGAAAGACAAACATCGAGAGATGAATATAATAGAATTCTATAATGTCTTCCAAGCAATGAATATGCTCAATTAAAATCATATGCTTGTGAATTGATATCAGTATTAGGCAGTACCTATCTGTGTGAAAAGACATTTTCAAAGATGAAATAGATAAAATTTCATTACAGATCCCATTAAAAGATGAATTCCAACTAAGTGAAATGTTAACCCCTCACACACAAAAATAATTCCATTCCTCTCTTGGGTAGAGCTGTATTAAAAAGCATAATTTTAAAAAATATCAATAAGATGGAATTTTTTCAATAAACAATTTTGTAGAAATTTGTTTGTCTTATTATACAAGTTATCTGTAATCCTTGATTTTGTCTCATGGTCTGTTGAACCTAAAATATTTACTATCTTGCTCTTTTAAAAAAGATTTGCCAAATTCTGCTACAAAAAATTAATAACATTTGGAAATGCTAAGAAAGTGCATTTTATTCAGGCTTTAAACTGTTTGATTTGAGACTATTTATGTCCTATGCTAATCTATAAATCCATGTTAAATTTTTGGTGGAAATTGCCTAAAGCAGCTGCATAGCCTAATTAGTTGGATGATACAGTAAGGAAATCAACATAGGTTCAGCCAGGTGCAACAGTGCATGACTGTAATACCAGAATCTCTCAGGGACTGAAGCAGGAGGATCTTAAGTTCAAGGTCAGCCTCAGCACCTTAGTGAAACTCTCAGCAACTTTTTAAAACCCTGTCACAAAATAGAAAGAACTGGGGATGTATCTCAGTCACAAAGCACCCCTGGATTCAATTTGCAGAACCAAAAAAAGAAGGAAAAGAACACAGATTCAGACAAATCCCTATATTTCCTGAATGTTTTTAAAATGAAATTCATTTATACCAAGTAGTATCTATTTTAATAGTTTATGTTTATGAAATTGAGAAAAATTACTCAGAGAACCTTTGCAATGAATACTAGAACAACATACCACCCACTTCTTAAATTGCCAAATAAATATTTCACTTCCTGTTTCATTATAACTTATATTTGCCAGAGAACTGTACTTTTATTTGAGGGAGTATGGTACAGATAAAGGTTATGAATACACTGCATAATAATGGGCCCATGTATACACTCAAAGACTTTTAAACAATTTAGGGAAGCTCTCAAATCTCTGAAACCTATTCATGGACCTCAGGTTAAGAAGCCTTGCCTTGAACTACAAGTTGTTAATTTGCACAGCCTCCTCATTAGCTATTAAAAGCTTTTTAAGTTCTTCCGTTTTCTACAACTTTATCCCCTTTTTATGTTTTCTCCTTCATCTCTTATTTTTCCTCTTATTTTCTTTCCTTCTTCAAACATAATGTTTATTTCTACCTGGAAGGTGCACTAACCCATCTGCTTATCTTCATACCAGAGCATAAATAAGGAAAATAAATGAATAATTTTAGTGTGAAGCATACACACAATCTGAAATCTACATACATATTCCTCAGTTAGCCAAAACACGGCCTCTGTTTCATTTTTCCCCCTCATTTCTAGAATAAAGGTATTTACACAGACGAAATGAACTTAAGATTACCCACTTGGAGGTGCAAGAGAGCTTGCTAGAAAAGAAATGGCATTATTTCCTGAAATTAAAACTCCAAACTTCACAAGAAAACAATGCCTTTCATCTCAGACAATCCAAGAAGCCCTTTCTGGGCGCCTGAGGGCATCACACAGACTGAACAAGAGCATCTGAAATAAAGAACCCAAGCCCCATAGAAACAGGAGTCTTACTGAATCACTAGAGTGCATTCAGCACAGACGATGGGGACATCACAACTGTGTAGAGAAGACTACTCAATGGCTCGGAAAAGACTGGACCTGTTCTTTAGACGTCTCGGTCTTCCGCAGCAATAACTTGGACGTTTGTATAGATATGCTTTCAAGTGACCCTTTGTTTTTGTTTTGTTTTGTTTTTTTTTTTTTTTAGAGATAGACGTCTTTTCATGACTGATTTCTTCCATAAGTTTCTATTTATAGACATAAATTATTTAAAAACCTGAACTTAAAATAGTTTATTTCAAGAGAGCTATTCAAACTTTACATAAAGACACTAGCATTTAAAAAGGGAGATTAGGAATGCAGTTAAAACATATAGAAACCAAGCTAGACAATACATGTTTTAAGACGATGCAATCACTAAATTAACAAAATAATTGAATAATATATATTGAGCTCTTACCATGAGCCCAGTAATCCATGTATAAGGTATCTAGTATTTTATCCTCACAATAACATTACTATGTATGCACTATTATTATCCCCATTATATGGCCAAAGAAACTGAAGGGCTGAGGAAATTTATCTCAAGCAACAAAACTAGTAAATGGCAGACACTGGATCTAACCACAAGTCAGTCTGTCTCAGAGGCCCAAGTCCTTATTAACTATTCAGCAAGTGCAAGCCAACAGAAATACAATGCACACCAAATGTATGATTTCAAGTTTTCTAGTAGCCACATTAAAAGTAGAAAAGGAAACTAAGGAAATTAATTTAAATAATTTTAACTTTAATAAAATATTTTACTTTGTTCAATGTATCTAAAATATGATTTCAGTACATAATCAATGCAGAATGATTAAGGAGATATCTTTTTTTTTCCATATGAGGTCTCTGACATCTGGCGCAAATCATATACTTACAGCACATTTCAATTTGGACTAGTCACTGAATAGCCACCTATGGCTAACGACTACCACATTGGACACTGGGCTACTAGACCATTCATGCATTTAGCCAATATTGCTTGAGATAATTTGTATACTAGAAATGAAAATAAGGAGCATGCAAAACAAAGGCATGTTTTGMTAACATTTGGCTTCCTTGGAGCTAATAAGTAAACAAATTCATTTTTAAGCAACTTCCCAACAGTAAGTTCAGTTAAGAGAATGAAAGAATATAATATAATAGAGAGCTATTAGGTGACTGCTCTGGATTGGGAAGATCCGGTGAGGAGGTGACATCCTGAAAAAAATCTAAACCACGCCTACGTGTCATACACTATGGAAAGGGAGAAGACAGAACAGTGAGGTGAGCTCCGAAAAGCACTATTGGTCTTCATAAGAACCGAAATGACATTGACAGTCACCTTTCTCAAAAGATGTTGAAAATTTTAGTGAAAATGAGAGCTATTTCTGGTGGAGACACGGCTGGGAGAAAACAGTAGCACAAACATATGGCTTTTAAAATATTACCAGGTGGTCAGGATGAAGGCCAAATAAAACTGAAAATAAAACAATTTAATTATTTGCATACTGCCAGCTTCACTGCATTTCATATAGCCCTACAACTTTTGAAGTTTTTCTACCCCTTCAAGGAAACAGGCCTCTGATCTACGTATATCCCAGCCAGAGAGGAAATTCTCAACCTCATGAGTGACAGCACATAAAAAAATCACTGAACCACTTGAATAAACCCACACTTAATGATAAAATGCATTAAAAATGGATGTGACATTCCAGCCTGAAATACATGAAGACAGGCTCTTTCTTCTCTAAAAGGAGGGAGCATGCCCAAGTATCCCATATGGGAAAGAGGAGCAGTGAACGGTAGCGTAAACCTGTTCACCAGTTTACAATGAAGGTTGATGATCACAAAATCATGAGAAAAGCCACACTTACTATAGATATTCAGCTTTATATCCTTGGCTTGCTTGCCAGCTGCATTAGACACAACACACTGGTAGCGTCCCTTGTCACTTCTTCGTGCATTCTTCACCCGTAAAATTTGTCCTCTGTCTAAAAGTTCAACATTGGGATCTCCCAAAAACAATGGCCTAGAAAAAATATAACTTTATTCCATGGGTCTATTTTATTTTCCCAGACTTCTTTCCCTTATTAATGACAATGAAAATCATTAAAATAGTTCAAGGTTAAAAATGTAAATCAAAGTTGACTGTAAAAATACAATAATGTGATTAGTATTCCTACACAGAAGAATGAAATGATTAAACCACTTTACTAAAGCAAGTTAGATAATTATCACTTTGAGATAAAAAGCTTTCCCATTTCAAATTTAGATTTTTTTTGGATAATATTATTAGAATTCAAATAGAGTTTTTATTTATTTCATTCATTCACACATTCTTATTTGTTCTTTATGTTTATTATTATTTTTTAGTTTGCCTTGCCAATAGTTCTGCCATCATCTTGATAGTATATTACTTAAATTTATGACAGTTTTATTGCTAATTATATAAAATTTAAACAAAATAATGTAAGCATCATGAGAAAAATTTTTTGCACTATCACCCCAATGTGAGTCTTCTTTCTAATGTCTTACCACTTATTTTTCTTCCACATGTTTTTTGAAACATTTTCATACCTAAATATATTTCCAAAGAAATCTGAAGTTTAAATGCATACATGGTATTATGCTTTTGTTCTTTTGTTCTTTTTCACTCTATCACATTCGTTATGGAGATACTGAAAAGTCCAGTGTTTCATAACATTGACTCTGCCATGAGTTATCAACCTGTTCCCCGAATGTTGGGCTTTAGTCAGTTTTCACTTTCTGCCATCACAGTGTTGAATGAATATTATTCAAAGAGCTTTCCTGTGGACATGAATGACTGTTTTCCTCTCCTGGGTACTGAAGGTATAATTACTCCCTCACAGCACATTACCATTGCAATTTTAATAGATATCAACAAACTACCTTTCAAGGTACTAATCAACATTCTGTCATCAGAATACTTTATGCTAAACGCCCTCTCTAGCTAATGCCAGAGAGGGCGATTAGCATAAAGCCTTTTTTGTGTCAATAATGACTTGTGGAAAACAAAATTATATTTCATTTATATTCATCAGATTATTGAGGGTGAGAATCTTTCAACAGGATTACTGCCTAACTACATATTTAATTGCCTGTTCATACCCCCATAGGTTTCTCTATGTTGCTGTTTGTCTTTCTTGCCGATTTATAGAAAATATGAATACAATCCTTTATTTCAGGTAGTGTAAATCTTAACTTTTTGATACTGAGCTTTAGTACAATAATGCTCTCAGTGTAATAATCCATAAACTACAACCACATTGTGCGAAATAACCTTCCAGACCAACATGGATCATTTCAGTCCAGGCAAAGCCCTGGAGACATGCAGTCTGGGAAATGTGATTGGTTTTCTCTGGTTCCTTTTGACTCAGATATAGAACAAGCTTAGTTATCAGTCTTGCTCTCATAAGAACTTTTTCCTATTTAATAACTCAATCCCACGCAAAGGAAAAAAACTATCTCTGCATTTGAATCTTGCATTTTTCACTGTTAGTCTTCAGACAGAGGATGTTTAGTGTGCAATAAATTTAAGTTCCTCGATGTTTCTAAAAGAAAGTCCCAACATTTATAAAGAGCTATATAAGAATAAAAGACATTACAAGACTTTAAGACTGTTTTTTTGAGCAACACTGGTTTTTCTTCATACTCATTTAATAATATTCCATATGAGAAAGTAATTAAGAGGGAAAAAATCCACACACATTTACACGTGTTTTCTATCCATTGGACCCTTGCAACAAAACCCTTGCAACAAGTAGAGAAAAAGATACTCACTTGCCATCTTTGAACCAGTGGATAACAGGAAAGGGAGTGCCTCTGACCTGGCATTCAATGGTGGTGTTGTGGTTGAGGACAACTGAGACTTCATTTGGGGAACTGGCATCTATTATGGTGGGTGGAACTTGAACAAAAACATTTTATCATGAAAATCTATTATTTAGCACAAAGAACTGGGGAAATGAAGCAGATAATCAATGATTTCTACAGTATTTTAACAAGACCTCAATCCCTTTTCTCATTACACCTGTGTACCCAACTGTTAAATTCAAATATAGGAGTATATTCATGAAATATCTGCTAAAGGACAATTATAAGAATCATAATGGTATAGGGTTTATTTAAGGGAATATTAAATTTATGTGAAGGAGGAGCTCAGAATGTGAACCATGACACTCATAATATGCTATTGCTAAGTATTTTAGATAATGAATGGCATAATCAATATATCAATCTAATTTTTAAATTCTACATGTCATATGGTCATGTCTACCTTTGTCTCTTTTAAAGGACTCTAGGTATGAGATATAGCATGAAAAAAATGCTATGCTAGTTTTTATTCTTGGAATGATGAAACCTATTAAAGAGCTCCTGTACATTTCTCTCACTACCCAATCCTCCCCTGTGCACTATGCTAAGGTGGTGTTCATATACAGAAAGTGACCAGCCACTAAAAGGGTTTCAGTAGGGAAAGAGTGTGATGTGATCAGATGTGTGTTTTCAAACCACACTGGCTGCTGAGTGAAGAATGGATTAGGGTGGTAAAGAGTGGATGCAGGGAAGCAGTTAGGGGGCTATTTATTATATTAATTAACCTTATAAATGAATTATGTTGTCACAGTGGAATGGTAAGCCAACAGATAACATAGAATTAGGAAGCAGACATGACAAGACATAGGAAGATTTCATGAGTTGGGGAGAGGATAGTATGAAGGATGAGTCCATGGTTCTGGAATAGGTAAGTAGATGGATGGATGGATGGGATGTGCAGGTCACCATGAGGGGACTCTGAAGACAACCAGAACAGAGGTTCACCGGGAACTTTCTGTTTGATAAACCACTAACACGTTCAATGATATATAACTAAGAAGTTCAGGTCAAGATACCATGGAGAAGTCTGGGCATCTATCCTTAAATGGAGAGAAACCTGAGCTGAAAGTAAAAGTTTGGGAGTCAGCACCCAGATGAAACTCAAAGTCAAGGGTGGAAATGAACACGGAGAGAAATAATGCCAGTGTGAACAGTGATAAGAGTTACTTAATCTGTTTATATAGCCTATCCTTACATATAAGGATGGTAACTTGGAGGGAAAATGCAATGTGCTTCAGGCTTTGAAGCAACTAAGGAGAGGAATCATTTTCATGTGCAGTTTATGAATACTAACGTTTTTATGAGTGCTTTTAAAGCAGTATCATTTCTAGGTCTCACTTCTACTAGAGACTCAGAAATTCTATGTCCATTTTGATGAGCAAAACATGGGAAAAGGAGAAAATAATTTTACCACCAAGTGAATTTTAAATATGAAATATAATTTTAGAAACTATAATTATAAAATTTATGATTGCCATTAAAATATTTTATATCCTAATTTATAACAGTGGCTACCCACTCTCAAAATTCTTTTTCCAATCTCAGCATTCTTTCCCTGCTCTCAGATTTCTCTTCCCTGAATTACAGGCAGGAATGATTGAGTTGCAAGAACAGTAAGAATGCAGAGAAAATGGATTTGCCACCTTCTTCAGTTCAAGGGCCGCCTAGCAGCTTCTACAGACATTCTCAGAATGAGAACATATGTCACACTCTGTGTCACATAGCTACTTACACAAATCACTACTTCTCTATAATTAGTTCCCAGGCAAGCATTTCCTGCTCATCTACCTGCAGAAATTGGTAAAAGTAATAATTTCCTATTTTGGACAAGCTAGTACCCTTTGGGTGTATGTGATACTTTGGGGTATATGACTCGAAGGTATCTCTGTATTCTAAGTAATACAACTTTCTGTATCATATAGTATCAGTTAAAATTAAAGACAAAAATAATGATCAAATGAAACAAATGGGATTTCTTCTATCAATTCATTTTTTTTTCTCTTTACTTTGTTATATAGTTAGCTCCGCACAATGTCAAAAGTGCATCTGGATCATAATATTTCAAGAAATGTTTTCCTTACCTAGTACATCAATATTGAAGTACTTCTGAGAAGTGCCTGCAATATTAATCGCTTTGCAGGAATATTGTCCTGCATCTTCTGCAGTGGCTTTGAAGAGCTTTAGCATCTTCCCATTGTTCACGATCTGAACAGTGCTGCTTTCCATCACCTTTAAGGGCCAAAATGGTCAGTGCTATTTCCAATTCTAATAGAAATGCATAATTAGCAACTGAAGTAAAATGTTAATATTACTATTAGTAAATCCACATCTGAATCATTTATTTCAGGCAGAGAGACAAGAAATTACACACATTTGGATGCCTCTATTTACCTGGACATCATCTTTATACCACGTAATGATGGGTGATGGAGTACCTTCCACTTCACAAAGGAGACTGGTCAGCTGGTTTACCAACACTGACACGTTTATTAAGTGTTCTCTGTCTTTAATTAATGGAGGAACTGCAAGAAGAGAGGAGTCATAGCAGATTTTTATAATAAGTGTCATTTTATTATATTATACCTATATTATAAAGTTCTTTAGAAAGCAAATTTTGAGATGGTTGATGGCTAGAAAAGCTAGTCAGAATTAAGCATTTGTTTCTTATAAAATGAAAGTTTTGATTAATATAGTTATAAATGTAAACTTTAATTGAAAAATTTGATTTATTATTTCAGGTTTTTGAATTCAGGATGAAATTCAGGATAAATTTAAGGAAGAACCTGTATATTTCAAATAACACTGAAAATGCAAGGGTTTTAACTTAGGTTACATGAACCTTACTACTGATGGAAGTGAATATTGCTCAGTATCTATGAAAGCCAATATTCATCAAATTTGAAAATATACAAACCTTTTTACTCATGCAATGTGGCATCTATATAAAATTTTTACTGGAAGGGTTACTACTAATAGGAAGCAACTGGTGACAACTTCAATACTCATCTTTACAGAGAAAGGTTAAACAAATCATTGTGTATCCACACTGTGGGGTGCCATACCTAAGAGTTATGAATATTTCATAATTGCAAAGATAGATTGTTTACATATACTAGGTACAGAATAACAGGTATAATGTTCTACTCTGTGTGTACTTTTTAAAATTATTAGTTTTTTAGTTGTAGTTGGACACAACACCTTTATTTTGCTTATTTTTTTATGTGGTCCTGAGGATCTAACCCAGGGTCTCGCACGTGCGAGGCAAGTGCTCTACCACTGAGCCATAACCCCAGCCCCTGTGTGTACTTTTTATAAGTAAAAAGATAAAATATTATACATTCATATTTCCTTATGTAATGATTAAAATGTCTCCAAGAAGTTAAACACACACACAAAACTGGTAACTTTTCTTTACCTCTGGAGAGGCTAAGTGGATGGATCAGCTCAGGGCCCAAAGAATTTTACTATATGTGTCTTTTTCTTCCATTTGAATTTCAAATGATGAAAAGTCACAATAAAGAATTATGTGAAATTTTAAATCAAAGACTGCAATCAGATCACCAGTTTTTTGTTTGATGACACATCTGTTCACATCAATGCTAAATAATACTACATTGAAGAAATAATTCAAACATACAACAAATGAAAATGGCCACAGACTTATTTATATGATCTTAAATTAATATTGTTATCCATATTTACCATGAACTTTGAGGGTGTATTTTCTTTCTGTGGTTCCGGCTTCATTGACTGCCACACAGATGTATTCTCCATTGTCATATGGTGTAACTGAAGCGATAACCAACAATGTGCCATCCTCCAAGATGGAAACACCAGGCTCTTTGCCAGTCAGCTCTCTACCATTACGTAACCATTTGATGGTCGGTTTAGGAGTCCCTTCAAAAGAATTTTTTTTTTTTTTACAAAAGTTAGAAATAATTATTAAATATATCAAGAATGACACCTTTTGTTATGACTATAACTTGTGCCATTAGGTCCTATGTTACTTTCAAGGTATTTCTCCTGGCATGGATACTCGAAGAGATTATGGTGGTTCATGTAGCTGATCAGCCTTGAGGTCTGTGGTTCCTAGTGTAAAATTTGATGGAAGCTATTTTTATCAAAACACTCAGATGATAGTAAGCAAAGCATTTTCTTGGTGAGTTCACAGTGACCAGTGTTGGGGGTACTGTAGTGATCATATTGACTAGCTATGGGGAGAATTTCAGAGTGAAATGAGACACAGCAAAAATATGTGACATGAAGATTGCCAAAGCAAACAGACAGCATAAAGGATACACAGAAATGGTATCCTTTAGGTCTAATATTGTAGGTGGGAGGAAGTTCTACTATCCATATGAATCTTCTGGAGATATCATCTGTTAAACAAAGAGAGTAGCTCAATTCTTAAAAAGAAGGCTGAGAAAGCAGTGAGCAAAATTGCTTTTCCTAGACTTATTTATGACCAACAGAGTGAATGGAAGTGATGTGCTTGTGGGTAAAAATGACAAAACTATGTTAGAATGTGTACTAGAGCAAAAAGGAATATTGGAAACCAATGCGATTCTGTATTAAGAATGTATTTATTTAACAAGGTGCAGGCACTCTTCTGAACACTTCAAAATTTATTTAATTCTCAAAATTAAAAGAAAACACATCCAATAAAATCAATATGATTCAATATAATATTGTTAATAATCTTATATTAAAGGTAGTAAACCCTTAAAAGATGAACTCAATCCTGTATAAATGTACACATACACAAAATGGGAGAAATACACAGAAAGTGTCACTGAGGCTAGACTCAAATTGAGTTAAAGTCTTATAACTCTATGAAAGTTGAATTTATGAAAAAAATAAAGCAAAAGATTGACCTCTTTTATTGTGCTTATCATAAAATGTTGACTGATGAGAAAAGGAAGATAAAACAGATGGACTCCAGGCATCTGTCCTGGTTTTTGAGGAAAAAAGGACCTATAATCATTTCCTTTCCTCCCGCTCATCCCTTTACGGACCTCAATCAGACTTCTTAGGTAATATTTGTTAAATTAACAAACAAGAAGGGAGAAGCATTATCAAGATGAAATGTGCACTCTATCTCCGAGTATTAGGTACCTTTTGCAGGACACGGGAATGCAATGCGTTGACTGGCCAGTCTTTCTTGGAATGGAATGTTAAAGGGAGGCTCTAGATCTTCCATTGTCGGTGGTTCTGGTGGAAAAAGGAATGAATGGGTTACCACAGGCTTTCCTTGGGCAATTTCAAACTCTCAAGGCATCATCGACCACCTGTATTGATGGCTGCTTTATTTCTTGATTCTTCTTTTAAATACGATTCATCTTTCCAGCTGACAGGTCTTTCTACCTAGATGTGATCCGGGGATCTAAAACTTTGGAGTTTCCCAAAGAAAATGCACTATTTCATGCTTCTCATGATCCTGGGATGATTCTCCTATTCCCTCAGTGAAGGCATTACAGTCATTTTTCTGTCTTTCTCCCTTACTCCTGACCTCCACATCGATTCAATCACAGGGTACCACATATGTTCACGTATCTGTATATTCTTTTGTATGCTCGAGATCCTGCTTACTTCAAGCCCTTCAAACCTGAGTCCATATATCATGTATAGACTCCGAATTCTACATGGCCCCCAGAATACTCTCCTAATAACACAAATTTCATTGTTGGYTTTTCTAATGATAATCATTACTAGTACTCATTTTTAAAAAATTTCTTATTTTATTTATTCTAATTAGTTATATATATGACAGCAGAATGCAATTCAACTCATATTACAAATAGAGCACAATGTTTCATGTCTCTGGTTGAACACAAAGTAGAATCACACCATTCATGTTTTCATACATGTGCTTAGAATAATGATGTCTGTCTCATTCCACCATCTTTACTACCCTCATCTATCCTCTATCCCTCTCCCTCCCCTTTGCCCTATCTAAAGTTCATCTATTCTCCCCATGGCCCCCATTATGAATCAGCATCCTTATATCAGAGAAGTCATTCAGCATTTGGTTTTATGGGATTGGCTAAATTCACTTATTGTATACCCAAAGGACTTAAAAACAGCATACTGCAAGGACACAGCACAATTCATAATAGCTAAACTGTGGAAGCAACCTAGATGGTAGATGAATTAATAAAGAAACTGTGGTATATATACACAATGGAATATTACTCAGCATTAAAAGAGAATAAAATCATGACATTTGCAGGTAAATGGACGGAGTTGGAGAATACAATAATAAGTGAATTGAGCCAATCCCATAAAACTAGTACTCATTTTGTCTATAGGATATTTCAGACCTGCTCTTTCTCCAATGTGCCAACCAGTACATCCTCTCTTCTCTTTCTAAACAGTCTCCACATCTTCTCATTGATTTCATGAAGAAATTCTGCAGTTACTCTTGAGACACCCATCTTTTTCACTCCCCACAGCCCATGTCTCATTGTGCCTGAGGAGTTCCTTTCCTCTTTAATTTTTTAGACCACTACCTTTTTTACCYCAGTCCAAATACCACCATCTTTTGCCTGAACTACTGCAAGAGTCTGTTATAGCCATTTTCCCTTACATTTACTATCCAAACCGTTTTCCTACAAAATAATGATCTTTTAAAATTCCAAGTCAGGTACACAACTTTCCCAGTTACAACCCCTCCAAGTCTTTTCTCAGCATCTAGAATTAAGCTTATGCTCACCCATCTGGGTTCCTAGGTAAAAGATGAGCTGACACATGACTTTGCCCCCAGCTTCCTCTCAAGCTACTTAGTACTTAGTCTGGAATGCAGCCCTCTGGCCTTAATCGAGACTTGATCCCAGTCTCTCTAAAATTTCACACATTCTCCTCCTTACATCTATGTTCACATGGAAGGTTCTTTTTACCTTCTTCCAGAAGGCTGCCTCCTCATTTCTACCCACTCCCCAGGGAAGCCTTCTCTGATTTGTCTTTCCATTAATAGCTCATAGAGCTTCTTCTAGCATTTCATGATGGCACTGGCCAGCCTGCAATTAAATACTTAGGAGATATGTGAAAAGAYTATATAAACATCTACCTTTTTTCATTAGACTATAAGCATTAGCATTCAATACCATTTGTTGAATGAATGAATGATTGAATGAATGAATGAATTGGACATGTTCTCCATTAGTAGTCCTAGTCACCCATTCAAAAATAATTGCAGTGTGCCATGTACTAAGTATTATGTAACTGTGCTAAGTACTAYCCTGGCTTATCTTTTCCTTTTGTCTTTACCCTGGAATACAATGTGATAGGAATGCTCTTCCCCTAATTCCCACATGGCTGGTTCCATCTAGTTAATAAAATCTCACTGTAAATATCACTTGGTAAGAGAAGCACCTCCTSACAATTCACAATACCATCCTAATTCTGCGTGCTGCATTTTTCTTGATTTGTAGTTCTTGTTTCTTCATTTACTTGCTTCCTGTCTATTCACACTAGAATGGCTCATGAAAGCAAGGATTTTGCCTTTATCTCTACTGTTTCACCACTGCCTAGAACATGACAAACTCCTGGCAGAAGTTCAATAAATATTTATTGCTTGAAAGAATAAATGTGAATATTTAGAACCTCAAAATAAGACCAACATTAATAGGAGAGCAGTATACCTCAATTTTCTGGGGCCTGGTTTCGAATTTATCCCATCAAGGGGAGGTGCAATCCTATTTTAACTYTGCCTACAATTTCTTCTAAACTAAGGAGTGGGTAGGACATTATCTAGAAATATTTTCATTACACATGTCATCCACAGCAACTTCATTTTCAAAAGTAACATTTGATGCAGGTTTAGTAAGTATGTTACATTTCCTTCTGGAACGGTTCTCCTTTCAAAGAGTCACCAAAGTTATATGGAAATCAATCTAAAGTGATCAAAGACTATTCAAGAATATTACATTCTGTGTAGACTCAGAATTTTCCTTTACTCCCCAACYCCACCACACACATATTGTCCCATGTCCCCAAATTACCTTGGACATGTAGGATTATCTCTGCTTCATCACTGCCTGCAATGTTGGTAGCAACACATGTATATGTGCCAGCGTCTGAGGGTACAGCTTGGTTGATGCTTAACATTCCATCGGGATTGTTAATGTGCCGCACACCATCAGCCAGCATGGTACTACYACCTTTAAACCAGGTGATCACAGGAAGAGGTGACCCTTGAGCATTACATGGAATATCCACCCTTTGACCAACTTGGACCTTCATGTGTTTAGGGCCATTCTGTATCTTTGGAGAAACTGGAAACAATAATTGAGAGTTAATAATCCAACTCTTTAAAAATCCTTTCCTTTTCTAACCCTCAATGAGAGCCTCTTAGCAAGATGTAGCATGAAAAAGAGGAGTCATTCAAGATTTGGATGACTTACTAGGTGTGTGATCTAGGGTAAGTCAACAAACTAATCGAGGCCTGGTTTKTTTTTTTTTTTTTAATAATCCAGGCAAAATGACAGTACATTATAAGAATTGTAGGAAATAATAAACACAAAATTCTTAATGCCAGACTTGAGGAATGGTAAGCATTTAAAAGTGTTAAGTTTCCTTTAATGTATAAATAATTTGAGGTTTTAAATCCTCCATGGCAAAGTAGAGAATTTCTATAAAAAAAAGTAAAGTAAAACAGTAAAAAAAAAGAAAGTAAAACAGAAAGCATTTCTGTCTATGTGCTCAGTTTTTGTTCTCTTTGTTGAAGAACAGAAAGAAAAACTCTCAAATAGCACTTTCTTAATTTTGAAGAAGAAAATCACACAGAACCTTTACCATTTCCCTTTATCCACCTACCTTTAGAAATTTAAATGGGGTAGTCTATCAAAACTCTGGGGTAAAATTCTTGGTTTCCACATACATGCATTATGTGGAATCAGCTGAGTCTCAATGATCTRATTACAATTCATGTACCATTCATCCCTAGAAAGTCCTATTCATCTGTCCTTTTAAATATTTAAGGAACACTTTCTAAAACTGCCACTCAAAACAACCTTTTAAGTTTGATAGTATTACTATCATCATTTTATGAGAGAAGAACTAAAGAGAGGTTACATAATATGCCTCATGCCCTACAGCTAGTAAATGACAGCTTGTCATCTGATGTTAAATGCCAAGGTCAACAGGGCACTACTATRGCACACTGATCTGAGAGCAAAATCAGGTTAATGCTGCCTGAGACAATTTCTTCTGACATCTGAACACCTGGAGTCTATACTGTGCCTGGCATAGTATGTGCATGCAGTGTGCTGAATCATCAAATGACTGGTCTGTGATACTGTGCAGAAGAGAGTTGGGAAGTAGACAGTAACAGGAAGCAGAACATTTTCAGTTGCAGGGCTCTTTAAATATTGAAATGACCACTTAAAAACTATTAAGTTCTTCCTTGAGAATCCAGCTAGCTTCTCTCAGTTTAATCATGTTTTCTGCTTTATATCAACAAAGTCTTAAATKACCATGGACATCTAGAAAAATGGAGAACCAAATATTTAATGCAACTCATTTGCAAAAAGGAAAAAGAGGGAGGTCATTTATGGATAGTAGATAAACTTTCTGGAGTAAATGAAAGAAAATGATAAGTCTCGTATTTTAGAAAATGTTTCTTAATCACTCTCCATACAACCTGGAGGTTAATGATCAAACGAACTGGGATATGGGTTTTCCTGTGTTCCGTCCACAAGTTATCTTAGGACTTTAAGACTCACCATGGACACTTAGTTTAACAGCCTGCGTCACATTTCCAGCAATATTTGTTGCAACACAAAGATACATGCCACTATCAGAAATGCGTGTCTCAGTGATCTTCATAGAACCAGAAGGGAGGAACGTGTGTCTGAAAGGATAAACCACATGTGAGACGCTGGCACATGTGAATTCCAATAACCCCAGGCAGCCACACTTCACTGTGGAATACTCTGCAAGCAATTCCATTCTTCCAAGCACTATAGAATGCTATCTAGATGCTACAAAAGATGCAAATCTCATAATTACCTAGTGTGATGTTTTTGCAAACCAAAACCATTTTTGTTTTCTTGTATCTAACCTAATTGTCTAAAGTTATCAAATAATTGTACATCTTTCCGCTTTCGTAAATTGCAGCTAAACAAAATGATTTTTGTATATTTTCATAGATTTTGAATTTATCTTGAACATTATTTTTTACGATACTTCACAAAATAGTGTGTTAAAATAAAAGTTTAAAAAGTACATATATTTTCATGTGTACTTTGAATAGATTCTTCCTATCAAATAATGACATAGTGGCTAAACAAGGTCTACATCTAAAAATGTTAATATGATAACATTAATGTAATGTTAAAGTAATTGCACATAATTATATATACATTGTACATACATGAAAACACTTTGGGGAGAGTAAAGAGGTTAGATAGASTTAGGTAATATCAAAATTCCTTATAAAGCTCAAATGAAGCATGCTACTGATCCAGGAATGCAGAATTGGATAAATAGTTAAGGACAGAGACCTCTAARCAGACTTAGGCATCATGAGGACAGAGAACTTAATATACAGTGTCAGAGGTAATATTTTAAAAGGTAAAGAAAAGTCTGATTATTCAAAATGTCATGGGGCAATTGCCTTTCTACATGGAAAAAAACAAATAAAATTAAAACACTACCTAATACCAAAACCAAAAAATTCATATAAAGTCCAAAATGTGAAAACTGAAACAAAAAAATGGGAATAAAGCGTAAGAGATTATGATTACAATCTTTCTGAAGACACAAAAAGTACAAATCTAAATAAAAAATACATTAATACATTGTTTCTTAAATATTTAAAACTTCTGTATAATTAAAGACACCATACCTAAATAAACATAAAACCTTAGCAATAAACAGAGAAGATATTCGCAACCCATAACAATACACAAAAGATTATAACTAAGAATACCAAATTTCTACATTCAATAAGAAAAACACAAGTCATAAGAAAACTGTGCAGCCAATTTAAAGAAGGAATTCACAGWTAACACAAACGGCCAACAAGCAGGTACTAGTGTTCATAGCTCACTTGAAGCCATCTCATGAAAATTAAAACTGTAAGATGCATTTCACACCCATCTGCTGGCAAAAATATTGAAGTCAGTCAATGCCAAGCATTCATTAGAAAGTGAAAACGGACCTCTCTGTTCTGCTCAAGGAAAGGAAAATCAAGACTGCCCCTTTGGAGAGCAATTTAGCAGAGTCTGCKAAGCTGGAAATAGGGATGGTTTTGACCAAAAATGTAGTTGTAAGTATAGGTCCTAAAAAACTCATGCATGTGTATACAAAGAGACAGATAAAAAGGTATGTTTGTAAAAAGAAAAAAAGAATAAACAATCCATAACCTCTATGAGTGGGGGAATGGATAAATAAATGTAGAATATGCATATACAGTTAAAACCAATAAACCAGCTCTAAATGAATAATAGTGGATAAATGTTGACATAACCAAGCAAGTCATAAAATAATAATATATTCTATGCAACAGTGGTAAATTGAAAACAGGCACACACAAAAAAATTTAACAACACAGAAACAGTTTTCTGTACTGCTTAAGGATATGAGGTATGTCTGCCCCAGGTAGAAAGAAAAGAAATTCTTATTGGGGAAGAGAACAGAACTTCAACTTTAATATTGCATTTTTTAAGTTAAAAAATATTTACTAAAGATTATTTTTCAGAGTGAAAAGTGTAGCTCTATGGTAGAATGCTTGCATGTACAAGGCCTGTGTGCAATCCTCAGCATCACAAAAGTTTATTGTTTTCAAAGAAACAGTAAAATTAAAAAGTATATAAAGTATTCATTTTTTTTCTTACCAGTGGTCTACATCCAAAAATGTTATATGATAAAGTGGTAAAGGAAACTAACATGAATTCATACCTTGATAATTCTATGTCATGTGTCTGACAAATGATAGAGACTAATTCTTATTCCACCAGTGACTTACGTCATGATATTGAATTTAAAAGGAAATTGAGACCCAGAGACAGAGGATGTGAAATGTACATGATCTTACATAATCCCCTCAATCCCCATTGTGTAGACAGGATATAAGAGGCTCAGAAAGACCCCTTAAAAAATTGCCAAAAATTTCGAGCAAGCTTTAAGTGGTAGAGGTAAGTTTAAAGTCACTCCCGGATGGCAACGAAGGTGCTATTCTTAAAGCTCTGACATGCTTTCTGTCATGTCACTCTAGCCTATCAAATAAGGGTTTAGTCAAGAAGATTTACAAAACCATCTAATCAAAGTCAAATCCTAGAGTCATGGTGCCTGATACTTTCTCACTCCTGTGGAACTGGCAAAATTCTGTGCTCTACACACTTTGGGCTGACAGGGATCTACAACAAATCTTAATAACTACCTTGTAAAATGTACCAGCAGGAAATTATGGCAAAGCCGAGTCTTAGCATTTTCTTCCATTAAAGAGCCATTTAGAGGGCTGACACAAGTGTAGATCTTAAGTTACATTTAAAAACAAAAAAAACTATTATTTTTCCTTTTAACTGTCCATACAGGATTGTGCTCAGGCTATATCCTTTTGCCAGGTGTTTAAGACCAAGTTGGTCAAAACTGACCTTGTTCCTATCTACTCTTAAGAGTCAGCTGAGATCCCTCAGAGATCACTCTTGGGGACTGGGGTGAAGCTTCTTGGCTCCTTTAGCTTTCCTCTACATGGTTGCTATCTACAAGGTTGGGTCAGGGTCCTGCTGACCATAGGTGGCTTCTCTTGGAAGCGTCAGGGACATTTCCCTCTCCAATGACCCTCCTCTTTGCTGAATGTGCGCTGGTTGCCTTCCTGTTCTCTAGGGTTGTGGTTGCAAGCTGGGTCCTTGTCCCCAGTGCCAGTCCAATACTGAGGACCCAGTTTTGAGAAAAAGGAAAAGAAGGTTTATTGCTTTGCTACCAAAGGAGAAACACAGAGGACTCCTTTCCCAGAGGCTGAGATTCTGTTAATCAGCAGGAACAGGTACCTATGTTTTCTATAGTCTCAGATGTAGATGTGAATTAAATGTAAATTTTTTTTTTTTAAGACATTTGACAACTTCAACAGGCATAGCTATCTTCCCCAAACCTTTGTTTCTACGTGTTGTGATTTCCCACATCTCTTACCTTGGGGAGAATGGTGAGATGAGCTGGGCCTCCTTGGCCCAGGTAATTGTGGGTGGGGGCAAACTCTTCACCTCGCATGGAAGAGTCACCTCCTCCCCTGCAAGGACTGAGATCTCAACAGGCTTATCCTGGGACAGTCCTCGTTGGTCTCCAAACACTCTGGGCCTTACTAAAATAAACACACGTTAGGGAAGGGACACCTTACATTGCAAAGAAAGAATATTTTAATTGACATTAAAACATGAACTACTAATGTTCTTAAGTAATTTATTTTTTAAAAAATGTCATTTATTCCCAAGTTTCAGGGCATATCTAAAACTTTCCATTAATACTTCCATGGTGAGAGCTGAAAGGAAAATGAGGAGCAAGCCGAAATGTCCGTTTAGAGGCTTCCCTCTGTAAAAGTGACCTGTCCTAGCAGAGCATCACCCAAGACACAGCTGGGCTTTGCCAGAAGTTTTAACTAAGTGCTGTTACTGAAGAGGGTTGTGTGTAATATGCATGCTTCTTGGGAGAACACCATGACATTTCCCCCCAAAGACTATATAATTACATTCCTTAAAATCAGAACCTAAGTAGAGGTGATTCTGGATGGCAGAAGCAATGCTTTTGTTGTAAATAATAATAATAATAATAATAATAATAATAATAATAATAATAAAAAGAACTGGGGGAAGCGGTTTGCTCTGGGGTATGGCCGCCTGGTATTGGTGCTCAGGAAAGAACCCAGAGGGTTGGCCCAGGTGGAGTGTCAAGGGACGTCTGGGCCAGACCTCTCACCATAGACAGTCAGCTGCACCTTCCTCTTGGCATAACCAGCTGCATTGGTGGCCGTGCAGATGTACTCTCCGCTCTCCTCGCCACTCGGTGACACCACATACAGACTTCCATCAGCCCCTGCAGAAAACTTAGCGCTGCCGGCTGAAATCAGCTCTCCTTTCTATAAACACAACAAAGAGCCAGAGTTTTAAAAAGATACTGAAGGAGTGACTTCATGTCTGGAAGACAAAGAGAGAAAGAAAAACATCTCCAAGGGCGGGGGGGGGGGAACTAGAATTGAAAAATGCTAACTAAAAGAGTTATTTTTATGAAAAAGAAGACCAAAGAACTAAAGGTGGTATTTCTCCATACCAAACCATGGCCTTTTATTCCAGAGCTACTTAAAAAGGGACAGAATAACAGTAGTCAGAAGGGATCGTAGCAGAGCTCTGCCAGGCTCCGTTCTGAATACTTATATAATTTAACTATTCCAAAACTCACAACCACCTTACCAGAAGGAACTAGCTCAACCCCCATTTTTACAGTTCAACATAATAAAGCACAAGGAGAGGGGAGTGGAAAAACTTGCCCAAGATCACAAATCAAGTCAGTGGTAGAGCTGGGATTGGAATCCCAGGAGCCAGTCTTTGGAGCCCAAATTCTTAACATTGGTGTTTGGCCCCAGCACAAAGGCCATCTGGGAAGATTTCATTTTTGCGTTTTCCTTAAAATGCGTCAAATTTCTGCTTGGTGCCAGACACTGTGCCAGTTGGGAATCAGCGTTGCCATTGTATATTTGTGCACAGGATACGAAAATGTTAACATTTATACGTAAACTAGAAGGTTAACAAAAACTTCTCCATATTTTGGATTTCTACATGGATACAACTGGATGGTAGGCAAAGCACCTGGGTTGTCATTCTAACTGTGCAAATGTCACATTTCATTATGATATCATTATTTGATGCCTTTTTGTATCTGCCAGATTCAAATTATATCTGCCAGATCCTTCTGAGATGCATCTACATTGTTACATGGAGGGTCCTTAGCACATTGAAGCATATCAGCCCAGCCACAGAGAAAACCAGCWTAGCGAAGCCCTGTATCAGCTTCTTTCCTCAGTCTCATTCCCTCACTCCCCTCCAGGGATCAGTTTCCAACAGAACTTCACATTCTGCTCTTAAGGAAATACCAACAGATGTACTGTTTACCTTGGACCAGACGATAGTGGGTTTGGGAATTCCACTTGCTTTGCATGGTAAGGTTACAGGAATGCCTTCGATTGTACTGAGGATCTGCTGCCCATGCTGAATGGTTGGCAGAACTGAAAAGGAAAGGGAGATTCGGAATCTGAGCACCTGTTCTTCCTTTTGATGTCACATCTTTAAAACTGAACATTATCAGTTTATATTTAACATTTAGAAACTGAGCAATGATTTAATATTTCCTGATAAGGAGAGTGCTCAACAAAGAAAATACAAGAATTATGATCTCAGCAAGTTTAATACAAACTTAAAATCAAGTATTAAGTGATGTCTAATACTCTGACCTTCCTAACAAAAATAAAAGAGAACTGGAGAAAGATCATTTTTTCTTGGAAGCCCAAGATAAAATTACACCCAAAGAGTTATACATTCAACAAATATCTTTGATCACTGCCCATTATCCATTAAGCTGAAGTGAGCTGATAAAATCACCTCCAGAGAAATTGGCTGTTTCTCTACCATATTAATTATCTGTCTATCCACAAGAGTCACCTAGTGGGTTACTAAATTTAACCTCAGTGGAAAAGAATTCATTTCCTTAAAAGGTTCAACAGGAAAACTTGAGAGACCTTAGAAGTTTACATTTAAAACTCTAAAATACAGGATGATAAAGTCAGTATTTTTCAGTAAAAAGAACAGCACACCTTTGTCTTTAGAAAGCAACTGAAGAATTAGCATTACGAGAGTAGAAGGAAAAGGAAAAGGAAGAATGTTAATCACTCCCTCTTGGGTGAATGAACAATTCATCAGAACCAACTCGTTCATACAGAAGTGATCCATACCCAGTGTTCTGAAAACAATGATTTTTCTTAAAGAAGCTTCTATGCTAGCTATATCCCAGATACTTCCTTTGCATCTTCTGGGAAGATGTGAGTGGCACTGCTCCCTGGAGCTCAGTCACTCAGTGTCTTTTGCTTCAAATCAAAATTTTCCAGATCTGTCACGCTACCCTAGAATAGAGCTTTGCTAGAACAGGAGGTACCAGAGACTCAGAGACTTCAGTGTAAAAAGTCCTTGGAAGGATTAAGTTAGCTATACTATTATTCATATTTTCCTATGGCTGGGATTATTCTTTAGATAATTTCTTCTTCAAGAACTGGCAATAAAACTTCAGCCCTGAAAAAGAATGCCAGGCRACTCACTAAAGCAAGAAACTTAATTTCCAGAATCATGATGGAATATTCAACTTTCAAACATACTGTCAATTTGGGGCAATGTGGAGTAAGCCATTATTTTAACTCCATAATCAATTTGACAATAAAAATGAAAAGTAGCAAATTTAGGCCAGTCTTGAAATCTGATGACATATGGGTATGGAAGAAGCTTCTTTCCAGATTGTCAATCTACATAAAACAATATGACAATTAAGCTGTTTTGTCATTTTACTTTGCATTTATGTTTGCATCCACCCATTCATTCTTTTAAGAATTAGTCTAGAACCATGAACATTCTTCAGAGTGGAGAGGTGGAATGATGGAAGAAAGCACTGCTAATGAACATAAACGTGGTATGAAGAAGCTGCTGCGGTGTACCACATCCATTGGCTAAATGATTACAAGGTTTAGTGGATGCCAAGGAGATGGGTTGATTTTTCAACCTCGTGGACTAAATTAGTAGCCCATTTGGACCACAATAGATGAACAACTGCTATGAAATGAATTCTAAACTTTAAATTATTAAAATTTCTTGCATCATGATAAACCACATGGTTGATCTGTACATCTTCTCACCTCTCTGATCTAGCAGAACTCATACTATCACTCTTTCACTCAAGTGACATTTGGCTTCTGAATCCTTCTCAACACAATATTCTTGGCAATCACTAAGAAGCTAAAGGGAGATGATATGAGGGCGTTCTTACACTAAATTCTTATACTAACCCATAAGCACCCTCCAGGAAATCTATGGTCTGTTCTTTAAAAATGGTTACAAAACATCTCATCTGCCATTATACGTTTACCCTTTTAAGTCACTTTAATATTTCTTCAAATAATATTTCTTCAAGAACATCTCAGGTGAGGTTAGTGGATAGTTGTATAAAACTGAGAGAGAAGGARAGAAACAGTCATAAAAAAGAAGATGTTCTGCATGCACTGAAAATTTCAGACCAAACAAAACTTGGAAACTACTGGATTCGAGAATTTGTTTTAAATAAAGACTGAGTCAACTACTGAAATTAAGTATCTGTGCAAYTTTCTTCCCCATGATATTCAGCCTTGTTTACAAATCTATTTTAATACTACCTTTTTAATTTTTTTCAAGAAAAGSACTGTGGTAAAGTTTTCAAAGAAAATATGCAAAAAAAGTCATGGTAATTTCTTACACGATTAAGTAGTCCTTTATTTACTGGGATTTAAAACAACTGGCAATTGCTAGTCATGGATGGGAAAAGGCTGCCTCTGGATATTCTTATTTGTGACCTTTGTTCTTTAACATGCAAGAAGATTGTTTGGTGTATATGAGGTGACCTTTAGAAAAGCTTAGGTCATCTCTAGCTCAAACACAAAGGGGTCATTAGGAAGGACATGCTTGTTGCACAACTGCCCCCACCCCAAATAGGCAATCTGCATGTAAAACACATTCAGTTTGCCTGAAATTAAGATGCATTTTTAAGCACAATTCTTTAAGAGCTCAGCTCACTTTTATCAATTAAGCAAACCACTTACAAAAGCCCTTGGCCAGAGTCAGCTGATGACTCCCAAGAATGTCATTTTGTGTACACAAGAGAGGAAAATCTGGAAATAGCATTAACAATGTAGATATTGTTTAAGAAATATAAAATAACAACTAAGAGAGATATCTACTTCTTGTAATTAAAGGCACAGAATTATTTGAGTTATTTGATTAAAACAAGAGCCCAGCTTTGCACAAAGTATGAAAATGATTACATGGGGTCTGTCTCTCTTACCATGCACAACCACAGAGGTGGTCTTATTATTGGCTCCGGCAATGTTACTGGCCACACAAGTATATTCGCCTCCGTCTTGAAGTCGGACTCTTTCAATATGGAGGCTCCCATCGCTGCGCACACTGATGTAAGGATTTTGGACCAGCTTAAAGGGATACAAAAAATCATGTTTAATTTACAAAGGAAGGATTTGTCTGAGCCCAAACCATATCTGCTCTTTTTTTTCCCAATTGGGTTATTAAATATTTTATAAAACACAATATTTCAGTACCATTAATTTAAAAATAAGGAACATAAAAATGTTCCTGAGAGTGTATCAATTGCATTTAATCTTCATTTGCCTCCAAAACCTTGTCAGCTGAGGCATGAAAATATTATTGGAGAGTGGGTAACATAGGAATATTATTGGAGAATGGATAACACAGTAATTATGCCAGAGAAGGCCATGTTTTCAGTTAAGAATTATTACCTCTGTATCTGTACATTTAGCAAATTGCACACAGGATATATTAGTACTCAACTAGAATCATCCTATGAGGGCATTTATGTATAAGTGAAATATACTAACTTTTCTCAAGTTTTCAAGCAAATATGAACAGTTTTACAACTATTTCCATGAAATGAATTCATTTCTAATAAGTACTGGAAGGAGAAAGTGGGTCTCAATACCCTAGAAATGTGAGGGAAAATGCTGTAAACTTGRTTAACATGTATTGCCAAAGTTAGCATGTTCACAGAAGAAAAGTTGTGGATTTGTATGAAATGTCTACATCCTATCAGATTCAAAAGTTATACACAAAAAATGATACACTGCAGGTCTACATTCTTAACTAGTTCATGATAATGTTTGAAGTTAATCATAAGAAAGATTACTATGTAAAATGAAAGAATTTTATGGGAATTTTACATTTTAAAACATATTCCAAAGAAGGGTGTAAAATATTTAAGTGCTATGAAAATGATATGAACTTCCATTTTTACATATTCTAAAAGGAATTTATTAGTGACACTGAACTTAATGTAAAATTATAAAATCACACCATTGATTATTTCTTCAATTTCTTAATCCCCAAATAATGAATGATAGAAACATGTTAACTATAAAGAAATGTTTTGGTACACTTATAAAACATTTTTGCATATTTAGTCGATATTTCAGTAGTTGGAATACATTACTCCTTATTCAAGAAAATTACAACTATAATTGCACACATTTAAAATGCTCTTACCATGGCCGAATTCTTAATCCACCGACGCTCTGGAATGGGATTTCCGGCCAGCAGAGTACAAGGCAAAGTAAGCTGCTGTCCTTCAATAACATTGGCCACAGAGGGGCTGATTCCGATAAGAGGAGCAACTATGTCAGAGAGAGTACAGGCGTTTTCAACTTCATTGCACTCAAAGAAGGGCAAACTACTTTATGGGCCCAAATGACCTCTAGTTAAGCTATAAAAATTTGAGTTTTCAGGAACAACATTCTTAAATGAAAATAAGCATTGATTTCAATAAGAAAATTGAGATCAATTCCTTCTAAGCAGAGGGAATGGCAAATGGATAGGTAATTTTACAGAAGTAAAGAAAATCAAATGTGCATGTCTGCTGCCAGAAATGTCATGGCAAGAGACCTGCAGTGTGTCTAGCAGACAGACGGAGAGTGACAAAAGCAGTTGTGAAGGGAAAAGTGGAATCATCAGAATGATTTTTGATAAATATTTATCCCAAAATTGAGACTAGACTGGAAGGAGGGGGAACAATCAGGAGGCTATTACAATATACAACAGTGGACTCTCCAAGATGGAATAGAAAAGAGATCCTGGAAATGTGTCCTTTCTTAGAAACCAACGAATAAGTTTAATGTAAATCAGAACAAAATCCCTAAGTGATTTAATTGGAAAATTCAGGTATATGCAGACAAATGAAGAAGGACATGGATAAAAATTTATAAAAGGTTATTCATGAGAGCTGGGGTCCTAGTACAGAGGAAGAGTGTTTGCCTGGCACGTGTGAGGCACTGGGTTCAATTCTCAGCACTGCATATAGATAAATAAAATAAAGGTCCATTGGCAACTAAAAAGAAATATTTTTAAAAAGGTTATTAATGAGAAAATACAATGCAATATTGAGGAACAAAATAATTATACAGATAAAGGAATACAAACTCAGTGTATAATCAAATAGGTATTATTTTAAATCAATAAATGATATTGAGTCAAATGTCTGACCACTGGAAATAAACTACATTCTATTCTTACTTCACATCATACACACACATAATTCTTCATGGACTAGAATGATAAAACAGATAACCAGAAAAGGTGTGTGTGTCTGTGTGTGTGTGTGTGTGTGTGTGCGCTCGTGCGCTTTCTCACAATTAGCCTTAAATCAATTTATTTAAATTGACCTTCATTTCTTGAAATGGAAAATGAGGAGTTTGGAACAATAAGGTTACTTGCCAGTCTCACATTCTATGAAATGGAGTACAGGATAAAATTTTAGTCTAGTAATCAGGTCTTTCTCTAGTTAAAAATAAATAAATAAATAAAAGTGGCATAGGTGAAAGATGATGCAGTGAAGGAAGTCAATTAATTTATCTTACCAAGCCCTGTCACTGTTATCGTTGCCCGCGACTGGATCTTTCCAAACTGGTTTTCAGCCTCACAAATATAGGTTCCTTTATCACTTGCCCATAAGTCTGAAAAGAAGAACTCATTTATTCACTCAATACCATCTCGGAAGCCTTAATTGTGTGACAGGCACAGTGCTGAGACCTATGGCTGAGAAGTATGGTACTGTAATCCATAGTTCCCATTGTGAGGGAGGATAGAGAGTGGAATCAGCAATCATCCCTCAGTGTGAAAATGCTTAAAGAGGTTGAAACAATGAGCCATGGAAACACAGAGACAGGAGTGACTGCATGTGGGAGATGTAGAGAAAGATTCACATCAACGGTCATATCTGAGCTACACCCCAAAGAGTGGATGGAACAGAGAAAGGACAGTCCAAACCACATGCAAAAGCATGGTTTGAAAAATCAAGGTCTGCTCAAAGAATGGAATGCTGCACCACCAACTGGACCCTACAGCAACACCAACTGGGGGCCAATTGGAAAGGTTGCAGGGGAGATTGTTTTAGTTGGACCAGTTATTAGCAGAGTCTACTTGCATTTGGTAGAGTAAAACTAGAAAGGCAAAACATGGGGCATATTCACAAAAAGAACAATTACCCCAATCCCACAGGAATTTTAAAGGTCCAACCAGAAATTCATGGATTTTGTCTTATAATTACATGAACCGGACTCTGTTTAAGCAGAAGAAAAAACTTCAGTGAAAATTGTTCACCATTGAAGAAATTCACTTTTCCATCTTGAAGTCTGGGAGTCACTCATCCCCTGTAAGGGTCTGCATTTGGGCTGTTGAATTTGTGGTGATGGTATGTAAGCATGTACATCACTCGGACATTGTCAGGGTAKATGTAACTGACATACATATTACTTTAATATGGGTTACTTTTACTTACTTTTCTTTTGTATTAAATGTTGAATATTAAAATAATTTTCATTATGTAGGTAGAATACATAATTTTTTTTCAAGATAATAAAATTTGTTACAAAACACTTGGAATTAATGACAATATTGGGGACAATCAGGGTGGGGACTACTTAGCTTCAGGTTGCTGGGTGGTTCAGAGACTGAAGCTGAAACCTTATAGAGTATGGTTCTTATTTTGTGAGCAATAGGGAAGACTTTAAACAGGTTATGATTATAATCTTGTAAATATTCTAATCAAAACAAGTAGAGCTTAATTAATTGATGAGATAGAAACATACTTATTTTTAGAAAATATATTTCCTTTAACCTACTTAAGATAAAGAGAGCTCCTGTTCTTAGTTGGCTGATGGAGCTAACGGAAAAAGGTCTTGAAAAAATTGGCATGTTGTCCAGTCTTCGCCATTTGATCCTTGGTTCGGGATAACCCTGAACATAACAGGGTAATGTCACATTTGAGCCAATTTCCGTAGACACATCGCCAGGTTCTTGTATGAAAACTGGAGGTGCTGGAAGTTATTAAAAACAAACAAAAAAGTCATTATTACAGTATGTATGAACAGTAAATAGAAACTTTATTMAGTTGTCAATACACTGAATTTCAATCAAATCATCATTTATAAAATATTGTAAATTTACCCTTTAATCAATCCTTTCTAATATAAAAATAGCCTTGATATTTGATATAAAAATTTGCTTTATAACTGAATGGAGATAACCAGAAGTTCAACGTTTTTCTTAAAGCAATTGATGATATAGAGAATTGAAACCCAGATCACTTTAAATAAAGAGAATCTTTCATTTTAGGACTTTGTTTTCAATTTTATGTTGCCTAAACTTGAAGACTTTCTTGTAAATAAATGGGCCATGTAATGTAATATTTTTAATACTTTCCAAAATTTACTCCTTCTTACTGAATTTTAATGAATTTGATTTATATCAGAGGTTTTCTTTATGAATCACTATCTGACAAGCTAATGGTATTTACTCCTAAATTACATTCTTATCCCATATCATATTCTTGYTCCTCATATCTCATATGCTCGAGTTAGAGAAATCTGAGAATCAGTAATACAAATCAAGGTCACAGAACAGATAAAGGCAAAATAGAGAATGCTAAACATCTTAAAGTTGAGAAATAATTCAGAAATTATAAAATTATTGATAAAAGGCTGCAGTTATCTGMATAATCCAGCTAACTGCAGAAGCTGAGAGGAAGAGACAGAAATACATCGGAGGCACACCTTGTAAAACAGAGAATGCAAAACACACCCCACCACTGGCAAGAACAAAGAGATGAGGCTTTCAACTTGTGAATAATGTCTAGAGGCATCAGGCAAAGAGAAATACAAGGAGCCCGACTGCAAGCAATAGAAGAAACCTGTTCAGGAGGATTCTAAGAAGTCCTCTAGGGATGGCTCCTGAAAAAGTCAAGGTGAAATCCTGGATAGAAATTATGGTAACTATCACTTTCAGAGCCAGGAGTTTTGTTAAGYGATTGAATGGATTATTTCATTCAATCTTCAAGATATCTCTGTTGGGTTTTCCTATTACTAATAGTAAAAGGTTTTCCACTAATTTTAGAGATGAAGGAATTGAACTGAGTTAATTGACCAAGTGTCACATGGAGTTGAATGATGGAGACAGGATTAAAAACCAATTCCAACTTCTGAACCACAATCCTTTGTCATTTCATCAGCCTCCCCTCCACTAGGGGTTCTAGTAACTGCTCAGAGTCATTCTGTTTCATGAAAATGACTGTAGTGATCCCTCCTTTCCTTCTTACGGGACTTCTGGGTCATGGATGTACRTCTGTCTCCCAAGCAACACTAGTGCTTTTTCAGCCTATGTAAAAGGACCTCCTCTAACTCCACAACCAAATCCTACCTCCTGGGCAATCAGCACTTCTTATTCTCCTCCAAACAGACTGACCTTTGTGGTACTGGTACCTATTTAATTATCACCTCCCCCCCAAATGTAATGTCTGCTGTTGATCTCCAACTACTGAAATATCAACCACCTTTAATCCAGTCCAGAAGGACCCTCCTCTGTGATGCCATCTCTTACCATGGACATGATTTCTTCCTCAARTTCCAGACAACTTGCTCTCTACTCTTCTCATAGCATTTGCCATATTTAGCCTATTAGACTGTATGTTTGTCTTTTCCCTAGAAAGTTGATATTTGCCACCATATTCTATCTTTAACAACAACTAGCATAGTACTGTGGACATTATATCTGGCCACTAGATATTTGTGAATGAATTACTGAATCAGTATGAAAAAAAACTTAAGTAATAATCCAGTCTGTGTGTGTGTATGCATGTGAACATTTTATCTATCTATCTATCTATCTATATATATATGAAACAAACTTGACCCAGTACATATGAACTCTCATTTTTTGAAGGAAACACGACAATTTCAGAAGGCTTCTTGCTTATTTATCTATTGAATTTAAACAAATTTCAATTAAATACGACAACTAAGATATTTTATAAAAAGTGGTATATCTGACTTTAGATTTTTCTTAATCTACATATTTAGGAATTTGACTTATATAAATAATAGGCAAAATTCAAACATGGTTTATGAAGTAGCTCTTTGCTTGCTCATTCCAACTTTCTAATACTTAGTCAATTTATTGTTGAGTAGGGACTTTTCTCTAAAATAYGAATGCTAAAGTCTAAAGGTCTCAAGATGTGTTAGGGTTGGAGATCAAGCAGGTAAATATAGTGAGGGACATAAAATAAGTTCCAAAATAGSAAAAAATAAAATATGCAGAAGCCTGGGATCAACCATGTACTTGGGGGAAAGCCCAGTTTACTGACACATTAGAACATTGGCATTGGAGAAAAGGGAGGTAAGCTAGAATGTTCCAAAATAAGGGGAAAAAACCTGGAGTAAAAAAGGATCTGCAAGGATCGAGTTGTGCCACAAAACTCAGTCAATATGGAGAAATCTTCCATTTTGAAGCAGCTTTGGGAACAGCATCAGGTACAAGATAAGCCCAAGCACGAGGTGAGGGAATTCGCGCACTGGTGTCAGAAAACAAGTCAAAGGAGAAGACCAGGCACTGGGTAAGCCCCAGAGATAGCATCAATGATGAGCAAGCCTCAAAAATGAAGCAACCCCTGACTCGGCCAAGAAGCCTCTTCATTACTTCCCACTCCTGGGGGTGGCCAACATGGCCTCCAGCGAGTTATGTTGGAGGAATGGCAGACAGATTAATGAACAGCAGGAAGAAGAGAAGAACTGAGAGCCCTATGGTAGGTGGGGATTATCCAGAGGAGGCCATGTTGCTCATGGGGTTCAGAACCCACTCAGGGGTTTCCAATGTCAGTTCCACTATTGCTCAGTCTGTCAGCTTAGAAAAATCATTTTACCTTCCCCAATTTAAGTTTCCCCAAAAGGGGGAATAATAACATTTCCTATCTCATGTTGTTAAGGAGAGAATCTTTATTAACCATTTAGCACATAATAATCATCTAAGTATAAACTATCATTAATTATAATATTGAGTAATTAATTTATTAAATCTTAGTTCTGAAGTTTACTGTATCTGTTGTTTCCATTTATTGTCTTCAGATAGTCTGCTAGGATAATGTGCAATCCTCTGTGGTCCCCAAAATATGTATATGCCTGCTCCTTTAGATCTGCACAGGGGTAATGCCACAGAAGAGCTCATGGTCACTCAGAGACGGCTGTGTTCACACAGTACATTGAAAATATAAAAATCCAAAATGGATTGGTCATCTTGCTCTAAAAGTTATTCCTTAAAATGATTCTAGTTCCCTTAGAGACAATTAAATAGATATTCCCTCTACAGCAACTCTGGAATTATGTCAGTCTGAGATTTTCTTTCCTAAAATGACTAGAGACATTGGTTTTTCTTCTACCATACCACAAAACACGAAACCATAGTCTAAGACTCAAACCCTGTGTGGTGTGGAATGCTAGAAATCAAACCACTGACAGGCCAACTTCTCATCTGATGTAGTCAATCCTCCATCCTTCCAAATGACTTCACAAGGCACAGCCCTGCCAATATCTTGGCTGGGCACAAGATCACGAGCCACTCACAGCTTTGTAGATTCAAACAGCAATTCTTTATTCCCGAACTCACACCAGCCTCCATACACGTTCAGGGGAAATCTCCGTTCTGCTGCCCCCCAATTCACCTATCCCACATTCTCAATTCCACGAGAATTCAACGGGAACTCAAGCAGCAGGAACGCCCTATTCCCAGCAGCAATAATCTTCAACCTCCAACTTCCCTAAAACCCTTATTGTCTTAAACCGGGAACGCCCTAAACCCAAGGACCGGGATACTTCCTCAAACCTGCAGGATACACCTTAAACCTGGATCCACCCTCGTCCTTGAGCAGGGTCACCTTTCTCAAACACACATGSAAGGTCACAGCGGATTTCCAAGGCAAGTCCATATAACATGGGGTACACTGGCAAGGAAATATCGATGCGTCATTCCCACTTGGCAATGGCCCTCAGCACAGCCCCATCTCACAAAGGCCAAAAAGCAGTGCTAACCTCCCCTGTTGACCTGCTGTGTCCATAACTTAAAGCCATGACACGAAGAAATAAGAAAGGGTTGACTTCTCATAAGAAGCTGGAACTTATGAATAATATTAAACAGTTTTTATTTTTTTTTTATCTAATATTGTTGATGTGAGGTAACAGGCCTACAAAAACAATCCAAAATCCCAAATAGCTACATGATATGGATAAAAACATGTTTTTCTTCTTAAGTCACACACTACTTAAATTTATGCCCAATAGTTTTGGAATTCTATTGAATAATTTTATGCACCACTAAGCTTCACACTAGCTTTCCTCAAGCCCTTTCTAAAAAGAAGTCAAGTTGAAACAGTGACTTTCATATTAAAAGCCCAATGCTTAATCTGAATTACTATGCCACCATCACCTAGGCATTTCTATACTCTGACTCAAAGAATCCAAATGACCACTTCTTTACTGATGAAGTTAATATTCATGCATATATGCTGCCCAGGCAGCTTCAGCAGCAATGACTGCTATGAGASACAACATGGATGAGGATACTTCATCTCATCTTTATAATTCACCTATGAGGTAGGTACTATTTATCTCCTTATTTTATACATAAGGAAAGACAAGCAGATGACCCATTCTCTTTTCAGAGTTTTTGTTTTGTTTTGTTTTTTGTTTTTTTTAAATAATAGGGATCGAACCCCAGGATTAACCATTGAGCAACATTCCTGCCCCCTCTCAGTCTTTTTTTTTTTTTTTCTTTTGAGACAGGGTCATTCTAAATTGCTTAGGGGCTCACTAAGTTGCCGAGGCTGGCTTTGAACTTGCATTCTCCTGCCTCAGCCTTCTGAGTAGCTGAATTACAAGCATGCTCCATTCTCTTAACCACTATATGAACTGTGAGAGAAGTTTTGTAGGTAGTGTGTTTGCCTTTTGAAACCACAGTGGTTGCTACTGTTAGAGTTTATGTGGTTCTTGGCAAGTATATCCTCAATTTCCTGAATATGTAACAATGCCCCTTAGGAGCAGACAAGATATAATCAACCTCTGTAAGATATAATGAGAAGGACTTAATGGTGAGTAAGGAAAGAGTTAAGGCAAAAAGAGAAACATGAATGTTTCTCTTTAGTACTAAGTTATTGGGCAATTGCTAGCAACGGTCAAGGTTACAGTAAGCAAATAACTAAGTTTATGCTAGTGGTTCTATCAGGGTAATTACTGGGATAAAATTTGAGAAGTCTATTGTTTTAGAAAGGATCAAGGACACTGAGGATCTTGTATATGAGTAAAGATAAAACACAGTTCAGTTCAGTTTACAGAATGAAGCATAAATATGAAATATCGGTCGGGACATTTCCTAACTCAATACAAGCTGCCCAGCACAGGCAGCCCAGTCCCTGACATGGTGGATCACTACACAATGGAGAGAACTTGGGAAATCTAGAAGGTGAAAAATGACCAAGAAGGCAGTAAGTAAGAGGCAAGTGTAAGATTCCCAGACCCTCTGTAAACTTTGAAGAGAATAAGGATGCTATCATCTTTTTATTGGGAATAATAACTGAGGCTGTTTGTCCATTCTTCTAGAAAACTATAAAAATAAAATGTTTGGTATATATGAAATATTTTACAGAAGGAGGGATAAGTGGAACTAGACAATGTTGAAATGCTGCAATCAGTGTATTTCTTGGAATTCCAATCTTGTTTCTAAGGTATTTCTCTCATTAATCCCAGAGGTTAGTCATATTAAAACATACGTTGCAGTGCCCTGGACAGATCCTACGGTGGCCTTTGTAGTCATTTCCAACTTTGTCAATTCTTCCCCAAGAGCATAATCACCAAGAATGAAGAGTGTTCATTCACCAGACAGCCAAGGGATCAGGGTATCATAAAAATTCCCAGGAGGACAAACTTTAGTTTGCATGAGGTAAAATATCAAGCATCGGGGGCCTTAATTTTCATTTAAAAACTTAAGATATTAGAACTAAATGTTTTTTAATGCACTTTCTTATGTTTAAAAAACAGTTTTGGCATGAAAATCATTATATATTGAATAATTGAACATATAATTTTAAGAAATGTTATATTTTATAAGTTTTAAGAGATACAAATGCTTTATTATCTGTGAAAATTAAGCTGCCAGGTTCTTTTCTATGTAAAACAAGTTCTGTTTTATTTCAAATTTTACCATACTGTGTAGAATTTTTTTTTAAAAAAATGTGCAACAGACAAAGGAGGAGGAAGAAACAAACTTCTTGAGTAACTCAAAGATAGTTGTCATGCACCACATTATAATGATTGACAATTATTTGTAGTCAGTACTTTTTTTAATACACTGGGGGCTAATTGCCAGCGAATTAAAAAATAATAAGGTAAAGGACCATCTGCTACCTTTCTGTCATCAACATTTCCAAATTATGGTCCAGGGCCAAAGCCTAATTTCTGGCCTCCAGATGTTAATACTTAGGAATCTGATGGCAGAATGGATGACTTCTGATAGGAAAATGATATACTAGAATCTGGAATCTCTGAAGTCAGGTAACTTGAGTTCAAATATCCAGGCTCAGCTTCTCCCTAGCTCTGTCAGTCTGATCAAGATGCTTACTCTCCCAAGTTTCAGTGTCCTTAATCTATATAATATACAAAGACATAATTATGGCGTCTTCCTCTTAGGGTTTTTGTGAGAGTTCAACAGAATGAAGCATAAAATGTTCTCGCTACAATGAATACAACATAGAAAGACCAAGTGGATGCCAACTACCATTGCTCCATCAATAATCTGAAAGGCTTGCTCCAATTTAGCCATTCTGACAAATGTTTCTACCAAATTGTTTAAAACTTATTGAATATAACTTCAAAACAGGGCTGGGGATGTGGCTCAAGCGGTAGCGCGCTCGCCTGGCATGCGTGCGGCCCGGGTTCGATCCTCAGCACCACATACCAACAAAGATGTTGTGTCCGCCAATAACTAATAAATAAATAAATATTAAAAAAAAAAATAAATAACTTCAAAACAAATTTGTCTATCAGATCCAGATGCTTACAGCCAACATCCAGGGTTATTTTGCCAGTTGCTCTTCCAGCATCATTGATGGCTACACATGTATAATCACCAGCATCCAGATCTTGTGTTTCTTGAATCTTCAAAAGTCCCAAGAGAGGATCAATCATGAGGAATGTTGAGGGCCTCAACTCAAGATCTCCTAAGTCAAAACAAAGGGGAGAACATTAAACACTGGAGTACTTACCTAGTTTACTCAGCTATTGGTTTGACTTCAAAACTTCTGAATAAAGTTGATTGCAGAATTTCTAAATGCAAAATGCAAGTTGGTTTGCACAMCATAGACACTTCCTAGAGTCTAAAATCAGGCCCTGAAATGAACGGTGTACAAATATTTTTTACTACTTATATCTGTATATGTATCTAAATAAGAATGAACTGTTGGACATGCTGGGGAACTGCCAAGTGCTGGCACCTGTGAYAGTAAGAAGGGAACAAGACAATGAAGGTTGGAAGAGGTTTCCACCATCTTTGTGGCAGGATGCAATTCAGCTACCCAGGAAACACCTTGAGAGACTACAGGTATCTTAGTTCAGCTAAGGCACAGGTTTTTGTTTTGCTGAGTGCTATCAGTTAGATTTTGTCTTTGAGAAGCATGAGCCGCTGAGAAAATTCTAAGGACGGCTGGGGAGGAAGGAACCACAGCTGGATGGAGAGGTTAGGGAAAAGCTTCTGGGAGAAAAGAAAGAATGGATGAAAAAGATCAGTCAGAAAGTATTCACTTTGATATTTTCAAAATATCTCTTTGGATTTTTGGTAACTTTTCTTGATGTGAAATAGTTGAAAAAAATAGCATAAAAAGAATAAAAATTTAATTTTTCTTTGGAAAAAAAAGAGAAAAAGATCAGTGGGGTTTTGTTATCTTAATCTCCCCAAGATACCTCAACTAAAATCTGTAGTATTCATTAAAAATCTTGATGTGGGAGATATAGGGGTTGGAGAGTAAAGGCAGGGATCTAATGTGTGGGAGGCAGAACTACATATTGAATTAGAGCTCAGTATCAAAAGAAGATGGACCAAGAAACCAGTTATTTCTGGGTTATGCCATGCACCATATGCCATTTGCCCCTGTAGTCCCTTAAAATCCCCAGGAACCTCTCCTCTTTGAAGTCAAACAATGATTCAACTAAATTATAATTTAGGCTAAACTTCTTATGATTCCCTTCTTCCAGGAGGTCTCCTCTCCAAAGAATGAAATTAATCAGAACAACTAGCATCATAAAAGAGTACATGGTACTAGATATTTATGGCCAGCCCAATGTCTACATCTTCTTTGTTTTGTAAAGAATGACATAAAACATGTGAGGACCCTAAAAACATCCAGAAGGTTTGAGGGCCCTTGATCTTAGGGTTTCATGGCATTCCCAGATGTCATGTCTGAAAAGGTACCATTCAAAATGTCACAAACCAGCCATGGGCCCTGGGTCCAAAAACCATAGAAATAACTCTTCTGTGCAGAAAAGAACAAAGAGGTTCATAGGAATAACTGTTTGCAAAGAGTACCCAGGAGCTAGTAATTCTCTAGCACACTGCAAAACAGCACCAATCAACAGACTCAGGACAAGAAACAGCCAATTCTCTCCTTGTTTATAAAATTGTCGGAGGAGGGGAGGTCAAAGGAGCTCTAAATTWAAAAAAAAAAAATTGCATTAGCAACCAACCATCAGTGCCAAAAACGAAGTATTTTCCAGCATTCCAGTATTTAAAACCCCCAATCATCCTTTTAAGTTTGCTACTACATACCACTAGAGAATGATAGAAGAAACTAAAGCTGTGTCTGTGTGCCTCTGGGAAATTTTCATAAATAAAAGCAGATGATGTTGACATAAACTTTCCTCCCACCAAAGAAGGATGCAACGTGACCCTGCTATTCATTAAGTATTAAAATGTTTGGACTAAACACATTTAGGCTTTTGGAATTTACTTTTCCCCTATATTTCTGAGGACATAACTTTCATTAGGGGATGAAAATAAAGACCTATTGTTAGTGGCCCTTTTTCAAAATAAAAATGTTTAAAGAATACTAGTCATGAATCATGCTAAGTGAAGTAAGTCAATCCCCCAAAAGCCAAAGGCCGAATATTCTGATATGTGGATGCAATGCTGACCCACAATTGGTGGGGGCGTGGGGGCAGGGGGTTCAACAGATGGACAGGGTGGAATGGAGGGGGGATGGGAATGGGAAAGATAGAATGAATCAGACATAACTTTCATACATGTTCATACATGAATACATGACCAGTGTAGCTCCACATCATGTACAACCACAAGAATGGGAAGTTATACTCCATGTATGTATGATATGTCAAAATACACTCTACTGTTATGTATAACTAAAAAGAACAAATAAAATTTTTTTAAAAGTAAATAAAATTTAAAAATACTAGTCATGAAACAAAAAATATAAATTGGAAAACACTAATTAAGTTTGAATTTGATACTCTCCTTTCTTGATCTCCACTGAAAAAATAGTTACTGAAAAAATAATTATAGAATTATTAAGATGCCATAAATATAAAACATTTCAAATGGAAATTAAATAGGAATTATTAAGTTTAAACATTAAATAAGACTGAAGAATGTTAGATACATCTAAAATTGTATAAATGTTCCTGATAATCTGTTGTAAAATTTAACAGTCCTTACTACTGAGAAAGATTCTCTTTCAGCTAGATTTAAATTCACCCCTGGCCTCTGTGAGTATAACGACTAACAGAGAGGTCATTTTCCCCAGCACAAGAGCCATTCAAATAGTATATGATTAAGTAGTTTTCAAATATGTGTATCTCAAGACCCCTAAGTCACTCTTAAAAATTATTGGGAATGCCAATCAACTGTTGCTAATATGGATTATACTTATTTACATTTTAATATTTTAGAAATTGAACTKAGACATTTAAAAACATATGTATTAACTTATTTTATAATAAATCCATGATATTTTAATATTGCAAATGTATTTATGAAAAAATAATATTTTCCAAAACAAGAGAAAATTAGTAAGCACAATGGCACTGTTTCACTTTTTTGCAAAAGTTTCCATAAAGTCTAAGGTCTAGTGAAATAGAAGACAGCTGAGTGCTCATATTTGCTTCTGCATTCCCTTTATTGGATATCACACCACTCGGCCTCCAGAACCTCCACCATGCACTCTAAAGACAATGGGTTGAAAAAGACAAATAACATCCTAACATTATCATAAAAATAGTTCTGATCTTGAGGATCCCTTGAAAACATTATGAGGAACCCCTACAGATTTCTAACTACATTTTAAGGATTACCAATTTGGATAAATAAATCTAATTTTAAAGATATTTTTACCACAAATGACGTTTTATTTGATTTTAATTGTATCCCTGATTCTCATTTGTGCAGTGAATTGCCTGCCTGAATCAGGGAGGATACACTGGCTTGATCCCGAAGCTCAGGGAAGCTCTGTTGATGGTTAATAAGCATTGGGAACTTGTCTTCCAATACGATCCATCAGTATTCTAAGGCCCATATGCTAACTCTGTTGGCTCATAACTTGGGCAGGGAAATGGATTTATTTACTGGACTAATGTATCTAAGGCTGAGAGAAAAAACTAATCGGTGAATTCCAGAACTTTCCATGTGGTAGCTGCCTGGCTCCCTACCTCCTCCTTTAGTTTCCAAGCTATTTGTGGGAACATAACAGACATGAAAACAAGTTTTCCAGGACAGTAGCCCTATTTGGGGAGAATAAAAGACTTTCTGTGTGATTCTACTCTATACAGGCAGAGAAATCGGCACATCCTATTAACTGTGTTGCATTCTTATTTTCATCATAAAACTACTGAATCACATTTAAAATTCTGTCTCCCTAACAAATTTTCTAGTTCTGCTTAATTATAATAGGAACTTGAAATTGATATTTATTTCACTTGATAATTCAAAGATTTAAGTATTTTAAATAAATAAAATTAGTTTATGTTAATTTAAATAAGCCTGATTAAGGAGCCAATTCAGAAATGTCTTCTTATCAGGTACAACATAAAGACGACTAATCTTTTAACATAGAAAATAATGAAAATGGCATTATTTCCTGATTTCCCCACTCACTTTGTTTTATATTATTTTAAAAATATTTGTTTTCCACATAAAGCCTTTCTTTTTCACCTCATGTTCCCCAAGAGTTTGAACCCGAGGTGAATTCATAATTTTGTGATTATGACATCAACCTGTTGCTATGGGAATGTCTATGATTTAACAAACAGAATCACAACAATAGTGCTTTGTACTATTTAGCATTTTTCATTTGAAGATTAAAAAATATTTTGCAAACAGCATCTCAATAATCCTAGCAACCTTCCTGTTAGGGTGTTTGCAGGATTTTTTTTTTCTTCCTTTTCTCATGAATTGGAGAACTGAGACAGAAGCAGAAGCAAAGGTTTTTACACAGTTATCTACTGTCAGCATCTGAACCTGGACCAGGATCCAAGTGTCTTCTCACTAAGGCCAAGCGTCACATTATTGCTCTGTCATTATACAACCACAGAGATATAAGCTTTAAGTTACAAATGCAAACAGATAGTTTCTTTACTTGATATAAGCATCTATGATGCACKATGATGCTGAACAATGCATTCTTTTGTCTTTGAATTCTCTATAAACCTCAACTTGTGTCTTTAGGTGAGCACTTTATACAAACCATCCTTGATAATCCAGAAAAACTCATTAGTAGTAGGAGCTAGCATCTCTAAGAAAAATGAACTAAAATCAGAGAAGCTATTTTAAATATTAACTGAATATTCTTGGACGGTTTTCTACAGGAAACAATCCTAAACTAACAAAGAGAATGTTCAGCTGGATTAGCAAAGGCAGACTTTTCCTGCTTTGATTTTCACAGTCCTGTAATCCATACCAGATGTCAAATCCTGAAATTCAGAGTTCAAAATTGTGAACTATTGTCTCTAGTGAGATCATAAACACATTTTATGGGGCTGCTATGTCACACACCAAAACAAATTTTTAACAAATCATTTTTTTAAAAAAAGAAAACAAAACTAAGTGAACCAGACATGAACATGCTTAAGAAATGTACCTTTGAACCACTTAACTTGAGGTGGAGGCACACCGGAGGTTTTGCATTCCATAACTGTTGTATCCCCAAGGGCAACCAAGAGCTCACTCTGAACTACAATCAACTTTGGGGCTTCTGGAAAAAAGAAAAAACAAGCATTCAAATAGTCAACATTTAGCCCAATACCACATGGACCTTGCTTACGTTTGCTACATGAAATCAATTAATAAATGAACAGTGTTTAAGTGCATGTGGTAATTTCAATGTTAACAAGCAGAAAGAAATTTTTCTAAGGCATGAACATACAGATGTGCATTTTGAAAAGATTGTTTATTAAGGTAAAAAAGGATATTAGATAAAATAATACTTAAAACATAAAATAATTATTATAAAATTCAGTCCAAAAATTCAGGAAATTATTTGAAAGTTCTTTATGGAAAAAAATAGTATATAAAAAAAGAAAAGGCTTGGAAAGCCAAATACATATTACAGCAATAATACTAAAGGGACAGAGGAATAGTTGCAATAAAAATAAGGTCAAAAGAGGAACGATGATAAGACTGATGTGGTTCAAGTAAGACCTGAAGATAATACAGTTGCAGATGAATTTATTAATAACGTTTTCTATGCAATTGTCAGGATAGTTATGTCTGATTACAGATATAGGAGGACTCGCATCCAAGACTAAAGTTTGCATCTGTAAATACAGTCTCTCAGTTTAGACTCTACTTTTTCCTGTGATGCTTATATATAGATGTTGTGTAATATTCTTTACATTTCTGTCCTTAGGTTTGTTTGTTTCACTCTGTTGACAAAAGTGCTAGATSACGCACACATTTTCTCTTAACCAGACAGGTTAGGATTTCCATACTTCAACTGACAAGAGTTTTAAATACAAGTAAGAATTCACACTCAAATAACATGTCACTCCTCTGCTAGAAAACTTTCAGCGATTCCCACTGTCTCCATAATTCCATAGTTTGGCTTTCAAAAATCATACACTGGTGCTCAGCTTTCATTGTAACCTTAGCATCCATCACCCTTCCTCTCAGATCTACACTGGCAATCCAAACAGAACCTACTATCTGTCTTCCTGCTTTTGCTGTTTTCCCTTTCTGAAATGCCCTTTGCCACAGTTCTTCAAATCCCACTGATTCTTCCAGACTGGGCTTAAATCCTGTCTCCTTTGAGAAATCTTTGCAAATTCCCCAGTCGGAATTACTCTCCCCCCTGCCAACCTCCCACAGTGGCACTTGTCTAATTTGTTATATTTCTTTCTGTATCCACTCCTATCATGCACGCTCTTGAAAGGCAAGATACTGTGGCATTCCTTTATTTTACACTCCAGGCATCAGCACAGCATTTTTGCATACTCTAGATGCTTAATCTGTTAAAAACAAAATGTGTTGAATATTTTGATTTCTAGGCGAATGAATTAAAATCTGTTTCTGCAATATAGAATTTCATGTCAGTCACTTATTCTAYATTCCTATGTGTTTATTCCTTTTCCACCCAGATGTTTTGTGACCATTTCTAAACCTGAGCCCACCGTCCTTTACAAACTTAACATGTACCTTCCTCATTTCTATATATAAACGAGATCACCTCTTTCCAGGCCCTCAGGTTCAAGACTTAGGACACTTTTGACACTTATAACATCCCTTTGCTCTGCCAGTTTTACTATCTTACTATGAATGAAGTGGAGGGAGAGAGGGAATCGGTGGATATGTGGTTGTTCATTATTCAAGTTTATAGCCTGATACTGAGCATATGATGCTTGTATCTTTTATTTAATTATAATGACCTAATAGAAATATTCTAACAAATAATTGTCACAAGTATATCTTTAATAAATGTGTCAGTTTGGAGGGAAGAAATTATAGAATAAAAGTGAAAATAATATGATACACTTTCTTTTGGGGGAGGTACGCCAGGGAATGAACCCAGGGGTGTTTAACCACTGAGCCACATCCCCAACACTTTGTATTTTTTTTATTTTTGAGACAGGGTCTCACTAAGTTGGCTTAGTGACTCACTAAATTGCTGAGGCTGGCTTTGAACTTATGATTTCTCCTGCCTCAGCCTCCCAAATCGTTGAGATTATAAGYGTGCACCATCACACCTGGCTCACAGTTTTGAATATAAGTAGAATATTAAAAAATGGAAGTTGAGATAAGCTAGAAAGGATATGGAATTTACTATTTGAAAGTGACACAGTGCCAAGAATAAGTGAATTGTGGAAGAACAGAATTCTGTAGACAATCTGGAACTCTCATAATCTGGAAGCTCCTTTAATTTTTGTTGATTAATAAAGTTATTCGTCTCTTGAACTTTTAACCTGAACTAATTATCATATTTTCTTTAATCAGTATGTGACATGAATAATAAATTATAATGCTAGATATAACTTATTCCTAATATTAATTTTCAGGAATGTACTTTTACATTGTTTGAAAAGATATTCATCTTATTTTAATTGCCTTTTAAACCGATTATACTTGCCAATGTATCTGAGAGTGGAAGTTTGTTTATCTGTTCCCGCTGAATTACTTGCCAGGCAACCATAAATCCCTGCATCTTTAGAAACTGCATTTTTAATAAATAAGGTACCTTCTGAGGTCATCCTATATCTGTGAATAAAAAGCAAAGAGAAAATAAAATTGAAAATACCATAATAGTAGAATCAAAATACTACAGCACCTCCCTGTCAAATATTTGAAAATATTTTAGAGTTATATTTTGGTGCTATTTACAAAAATGATTAACATCATCATTTCACAAGCAGAGAAATCGTACTATCATTACTACTAGTACTACTACTACTACTACTAATAATAATAATAAATATTTTAGAGTTATGTTTTGGTGCTATTTGTAGAAATGATTAACATTGTCATTTCACAAGCAGCGATGTTGTACTATAACTACTACTACTACTACTACTACTATTACTACTAATAGCACATAATATACTGGCCATGTGCCAAGGATTGCTCCAGGAGCGTTACAATTATTAACATCATTTTCAATTATTCTCACAACCCAGTGGGTTAGGCAATTTTAGTGTCTCCATTTTACAAATGAGCAAAGAAGTTACATAACTTGGCCAAAGTCAAGATGTGTCATTCAACAAAGGTACTGGAATTTGTACCCAGGCAATTTTGCTTGTTGTGATGAATTACCATGCTCAATGGTTCCTGAAAAGGAAAACCTGAGAGATTCAATACATCCTGTCACTCAGGCAGTGTGCATGATGAGTCTAGGAATGGAATACGGCTCAGCTTGCTGGATCATACCTACTCCACCTCAAGCCAAACCCAGATTAATGAAAGCCCACAGCTGGAAACTGTTGCTTATGTTCCACACACTTATTACCTTACGAGCATGAAAGGATCCAATGTCTTTAAGAAGTGCCTAGGAGAATAAAATGGCTCTCAATGCAGTATGGCAAAAGTGGCAGTAGTTACCAAGAAAGCCTGCACACACTGTAATAGAGCTTCTTTTGTGTTCTGTGCACCACTCCCCACTAAAACCCAGAATAACTCCTTAAATAGATCTGTTAAAACTATGATACATTCCCCCACAGAAATTTTATTATCCCCTTTCAATGGCTCGTGTTAAACCAAGTGCTATGTGTACAATTTAAAGTATTGGAAAGCACTTGTTCTAGCTATTGAATTAAAGGCTTAATAATCTCAAACTCTATAAAATTATTGTTTGTATTGTATTTTGACGTTTCCAAGTCTGTTCAGAAAATGTAAAAGCTGTGGATTTTCATTAAACCTCCTTTAATATTAGGGATTTGGTTAGATTCTCTCAGTTCAGAAATTTCATCAACTTTTCTCATTCAATAAAAACAAGGAACATGATACAAACCCAGTACCTGTGTGAACCCACAATAAACATATCGTTAACGGTCCAGGCGATSTTTGGTTTTGGATAACCTGTTGCAGAACACATGATGGAGACCTCAGACCCTCCTGTGAAAGACTGGTTCTTGGGCATCACAGTAACTCTGGGAGGCTCTGCAAGTAAAACAGAAACTTATGTAGTGAAATGCCCATCTATCTTGATGTTAGGAGCTTTCACCATCAGCAGATTCTGAAGGCTTCTCAACCACCTGTCTACTCCATTACCTGTTTTATATTTACATGGCTTGGCTGTAAGAACTAATCTTCAAAGAAAGTAGTACTAAATTCTCTGAATGTGCATACTTTTCACTTGATAAAATAAATGACAATAAACTTGTTTTCATATTGCCTGAAACAGATTCCATGGGTATTAACATACATAATGAATTTATTCAATACTATCTGGTTTTCCTGCACAATTATTATGCACCACACATGGATACACTGATGAACCAGAGAGACATACTGTGTGCTTTTTACTGAATTGGACTGTTAACTATAAATGAAATTGAGAAATTCAGTTAGCTGCTTAGATCTGGATATATTTATGATACCTCTTTAGTAGAAGTCAGTCTGCAAATTGTGGCTCACTTTCACTAAGAACCCTCAGTCTAAGGACTCCCTATACATTTGAAAGAGATGGAAGTGGCATTCCTATGGTGCAGCAGCTACTCAACTCAAGAACCTAATTAGTGCCTAATTGCTAGCAGCTCACAATCACCCCTTCTCTTTTTTTCCCTGTTTACATAGCATTTTTCAAATTATGATCTTGTCTTTGAAGTGAATGTTTGATGGATTTTTTCCTTCCTGTGGATTTGGTTGATAGCCTCATTATTCTACAGATTCTTCTGGGTGAACATGGGGCTAGAAAAATGCATGAGGTCAAGGGCAGACTGGCTATGGCCAGCAAGTTCACATTGTGATTCCATCTGGAGTCCATCAGTTCTGAGATGTTCAAGGACTGACTGCATGCAGTAGGGGTGGTACAGACGGTCTGCATGGGATAAGAGAAAATGGACAATTCTTTTATCTTTCAAATTTACTGAATACCCACATTTTGAATAAGTCCCACCTTCCTAAAATAAAATGTTTCTCATGTCGAGTTCAAGTTGACATGAGATTGCTGCAGAGATTCAGGCAGCTTTCAGGATTTTTTTTTTTTTTTAATCTCAACTTGGTGCCTTCTAATGGAGTCTGCCAGAAGTGGCCTGGCATCTCTCCCAGCAAGAATCCCACTGGTAGGCTCTGTAGTTCAGATATCAAAGTGAAAATAAATGTCAGTTACCCAAACCAGGATGCAGAGAGCTAAGAGGTTATTGAAGAAATAAAGCCTGGATATAGGGCGCTGCTCAGGGTCATGAAATAAATCTGTGAGCAACACACAGATGGGATGACTTCATCCTACAGAAGGTGAGAACTTTACCCTTGCCCTGGAAGGACCTCCTGCTGATGATAAGAAAACCAGAAAGGACAAGAACAAACACAGAAAGGCAAAACTGGATTCCCACCAAATAAGAGTTGAATAAAGATGGTCAAAATGAATCATCCTTTACTTAATAATGTKCCTACAGAAGTAGTAGATCTTACTATTTTAACTGTTAACTTTTTAATCCATAGGGAAAAAATTAATTTCTCATTTAAATAAAGTAAACTTAATTGGGCACGAACGTGAAACTGAGGAATCCATAGTTTAATTTCATCAATGAAATGACATCATTTGCCCTCAAACAAACCAAATCACATTTCCTGATTGTTAAATGATAAACTTTTTTTTAATGGGGGAAAAGTAGTATTAAAGCCATAGCTAGAAGTCCAAAGTCCAAGTTGAAGCTTTGGGAAAAATAATCAAAATTTTACTTGAGGTTTTCTATCTCATTTCACAATCACCACCATCATCACCATTATCACCACCACCACCACTGTCCACCATTGACACCATGGTCCTCACAACAGCTGGCTTTTTATGAGCAAGCTGGAACATAGGAACATGGCCTTCTGGGGTAAGGAGGCATTTTTTAATTTTTATTTTTAAATTCTAACAGAAACAAAATGCATAAGTTTTTATGACTTCTCACTAGAGATTTAAAATAGTTATACATAAATATGTAAGACATTAACAATAAAAAGAAACACTTTTAAGACTTGTTTTCCTGTACTACTAGTGGTAGGGTTGACAAAATAAATTATAACTGGTCATGAAAACAGGCATCACTCTCTCTACCTACCAAGATTAGGAAAGGAGAAAAACCTCATCTCTCTTGGAAACTGCTAACATGATCTTCACATTTGCAGACACATCTCCTGTCAGCCCAGAGTGACCTGCTGCTTTTAAGCTTCTGGTAGGAAATTCTTCAAGAAGAGACCTAATGACTTTCTCTTTAAGGTGATTTAACTGTTGCTGACAGATTCACCAGATAATGCTAATACTTTTAACCTAAGCCAATAACTTACAATATTTTTCATCACTGAAGTATTTAGAGTACATAGGCAAATTTTTGTATTTTCATTTTTCCACTCAACAAATATTTACGAAGTTCCTACTATTTTCAGTCCTCAGGGATTTCATAGGATACTAAGTCAAAAGTACATTGTATAAAACTGAGGACTGGATCTCTTCCTCATAGTTATAACTTACTTAAAGAAGGGGGACTCAATTTCTTAAGTGCCTATCATATGCCAGGGGGCTAACCCGAGAACCATCATTTATTTTCCACAATAATCCTATGAAGTAAAGTATTGTTACCATTTTACAGATTAAAAAACACAACTAAGAATGGAAAAATGATTTTCCAATGTCATGCAAAAGTAGAGCTACGAGTCAAACTCGGGCCTTGCTGGCTCGCTTATGTCAATAATAATAATAATAATAATAATCCTGTTCACAATGGGTTAGCTACATTAATATACATAAAACACCTAGAACAATTCCTGACATTTATTAGGCACTGTGTAACTCTTGCTTTTATTATCAATATTACATTATTTGGTGAAGAATGACAAATAAACAATACAGTATTCCAAATCCATCTATGCCTATATGTTACCTCAATGTTTACAAAGGAAAATTGATCACCACTATCCTTATATTTGCATATTCTATTTAGAATACACACGTATTTATAAATAATACTTACTATATCTTACTTAATTCTCCAGAAATTTTAGGATACTCAGGATTTATTAGAAAATTCGATAAAATAGATAAAATTTCATGTTTTACTGACAGGGAAAAAATATGCTGATGCCTCTATCATTTGGCACATGTTTTTAAAAGTTATGATGATACAAACAGCATGTGGTTGTGATAATACAAATTTCATACTTAGTGAAGTAATTCTGGTCATTAGAGACTGATTTCATCAATCATCTTGAGAAATATTTCCTTTTTTTACTGCAGTATTCTCTCTGGTGGCAGACTAATTAATCACAGACATCCACCCTTTCCTGATACCATAGAAAACAAATTAATAATCTAGTGTTCATACAGAAATAACATTCAGGAGAAAAGAAGGCTCTGTCTAATCTGGCCCTTTGATTTCCATGTGGCAGCATGTGATTAGGAAGGGGACATCAGCTGCGTGCTGACACGTTCAGACTGAACCAGGACTCCTCCGGAAAACAGGACCTTCAGAGGGTGCACCTCATAAGGGAACTGCTTTCCATTGTCACAAAGGGGAAACTGTCTGTTTTAAACAAAAATTGAAACTCACACCACACTATGGGGTTGGGGTTGGGGCTCAATGGTAGAGCGCTTGCCTAGCATGTGTGAGGCCCCGGGTTCGATCCTCAGCACCCCGTAAAAATAAATAAAGGTATTGTGTCCAACTACAACTAAAAAATAAATATTAAAAAAAATTCATTGCCACCTTAAAAGAGACCAACTGCTTTAGTCTATTTTGTAAAATATTGCCACACTCACATGATATAATTTCTAAATTGGGGTGAGCCCATTTAAGCAATACTTTCACATAATAACTCTACAAATGTTTCTTGAGATTCACCAGATTCTGTCATATAAAGAATGGTTTGAAATGGAAGCAGTAATAATGATGGCATGTGTTACAACAAAAAAATGAAAGGATTTACATAATGAAATCTAAAACTGCTGTTGTGACTCCAGTAACCCACTGAAGTTAGCATGGAAACGTGAAAGATAARATCGGTGATCCACATGACCATCGTTAAATCCTACGTTCAACCAAACCTCCAATTTATTCCCATTTCTGAAAACATGATTGATTTGTGATGTTCCCCAGTAGATTTTTCTCTGTGGGCAACACATGCCCTGAAAATGCTAAATGATCTAACATCAAGCAATGCTACCCAAGAAAATGGAAGATGACTAGAATATAATTACTGAAACCAATTTCTATTAAATTGCAGTCAGTAAAATGTGTTTTATAGAATTTCTGACCTTTCTTCTAAATAGTTTTATTTTCCTTAAAAGGTTACATAATGACTATTGTTGAGCTTGCCGAGAATCATAAYTAGTAGCTACATCCCATTCTATTTAGATGTTTAGCCACTGATTCAGGTCAATTTGTTTATTTAAAACACACTGGCACTTTTTTTTCCAATGCATTACTTCCATTTCTGATTGGGGAGGTGACTCTCCCTAGTTCTGATGCCGACTTTCACACAGGAAACCTGCACAATGAAAATGACAAAATCTCTCCAAGAACAATTTACAGTGCACAGATGTGCTTGTTCACTTAACTTTGCCTTAATTTTCAGTGAAAATAAATGGCAATGGGATATATTTTAACATTTTAAAGTTTTCCTCTGTCTACTAGACAGTAGGTCAGGGATTTCTTCCCAAGAGGAAAGAATGAAACTAAAAACAATCAACCAAACACACCAAACAAAAACAGAAATCAGTTGCCTGAGGAAGGAGATATGGGACCAAATGCAATATTTCCAAATGATATCCCATCAATGGAAATATGAAGACCTGGTTACAAYCTCTCCAAAATGGTAGTGACTCCTGAATGACAACAATCCAAGTGAATTAATCAATGTGACAGATGCAGTGAGTTTCACAAAACTTCTCTTACTATTCTACCKTAACTATTTTTACCTTTCTTCTTTCTCCAAAAAAAGACTGGACCTGTACT